CAAATACCCTGCTTGCTGTGCTATTGCTCCAGCCCTGGGCTCAGCAGCCCTTCTTCACCCCTCATGCCCTCTGGCCTGACCCGCTCCCTCCTGGCCCCACAGCAAGATTTACTGCTATGGGCCGCTCCTGCATGCAGTCCAGATGGCCAAGCTCTACCCCGATGACAAGGAGTTCGTAGACATGCCAATGTCCCAACCTCCAGGTGAGGCGCTGGGCACCTTCCACCAAAGATGGGGGCCCTGAGAACTGGGCAGAGTGGGGCTTCTGATGTGTGTGTGTGGGGAGGTGCTCATTGGGTCCTGCTGCCTGTTCTCAGACCAAATCCTACAGAAATTCGATGAACTGTCCAAGATCCACAACTCCACCATCCCCCGGGAAGAGCTGAAGACCTTTGTCAAGACCCACTTTCAGGCCAAGGGTCAGGAGTTGGAGGTCTGGGCCCCTGAAGACTGGAAAGAGAGGTAGGGCCTGGCCAGGGGTCAGGAGGGTCCCTGCAGACGGGCTGCCCCTTGCGCCTAAAAATCCCTGTGTTCCTCCAGCCCCCGGATCCTACAGAACATCTCAGACCCCAATCTGCGCACCTGGGCCGAGAAGCTGCACCAGCTGTGGAAGAAGCTGGGGAGGAAGGTATGAGAGGCCCAGTGTGGGGTGCAGCTTGGGCTCCACAGGACCCCCAACAGATACACTTCACAGCAACTCTTCCAGAAACTTGCTTCAGCACTGCCACCCCCAGTGCTGGTGCTCTCGGCCACCTTCACCCTCCCACACACACTGTGGAGAGGGCCTGGGGTCCCATCACACCTGGAAGAGAATGAAGACTCAGATTTCTGGGGCTGGCTGCCTGCCAGCAGATCTGGGGGACAGTAGGGATCTCCTACTTGAGGGATGGGGGCAGGATAATGGTGATTCAGGGGCCGATCTTGTCCCTTCCGGGTCACTGGGCAGGACTCAGGGTCCAATACACACAGACCTTCATACCTAGGTCTTGGCCCAAGCTCTTGGTTGCTGGGGTCTCCATACCTCACTTCCTGCTGCCTTTGCCTGGGAGGCCCTGGGAGGCCCTGGGGTGGTCCTGGGGAGTCCCTGGGGGCTCTGGGCTCCCTCTGACTTATCTCCTGGTTCCAGGTAAAGGCAGACGTTTTCAAGCAGCCAGACAGAGTCTCTCTGATCCTGTCCACGATGAAGCACCCCTTCATTGTCCCTGGCGGCCGCTTTCTCGAGTTCTACTACTGGTGAGCTACTGGTGGGGGCAGCCCAGGGCCAGCAGGGAGCGGGTCAGAGCACAGCTGAGCGACAGCTGAGCGTTGTCCCCTCAGGGACTCCTACTGGACCATGGAGGGTCTGCTCCTGTCCGAGATGCCGCAGACATTCAAGGGCATGCTGCAGAACTTTCTGGACCAGGTGCAAACGTAAGGGGGCCGTCCCTCAGGGTGGGGGCAGGGAAGCTTCCAGCTCAGGGCCTGGCCTTGGCTGTGGGGGCCTCCCTGAGCAGATCTCCTCCCTGGCAGCCTGGGGCACATCCCCAACGGGGCCCGCGTGTACTACAAGCAACGCAGCCAGCCCCCGCTGCTGGCCCTCATGATGGACAGCTACTTCAAGTACACCAAGAACGAAACCTTCCTACGGTGGGCACCTTCCCCAGGCTACCCTGTGCGCCCCTCCCCACCCCCCACTCCCACACTCCTGGGGATCCTGACCCAGCCCCCGCTCTGCCTAGGGACAACATTGATATCCTCGCCTCGGAACTGGATTTCTGGGCTAGGAACAGGAGCACCTCCGTGTCCGCAGGCGGCAAGACCTACACCCTCAGCCGCTACCACGTTCCCTTTGGGGGGCCCAGGTGAGTCTGCTGGGCGGGGCCGGGCTCTGCCATCCTCCTGCGCCCAGCCCTCAGACAGGGACGCGGTCAGCTCTGGGCCCTTGGGAGGGTGCCCCAGGAGTCAAGACGGCTCAGCCTCAGGTCTGCGAAAGGCTTGAGGCCTCCACTTGCCCGCTGCCCCCTTCTGCCCCCTCCAGACCAGAGTCTTACAGCAAAGATTTTGAGTTGGCGAGCACCAAGCCTCAAGGTGAGCAGATGGACCTGGACATGTAGAAGAAGCTGGGGGCGTGGCCCGCGGGCTGGGCGTGGCCACGGGCGGGAGGTGTCTGCGCGGTGGGCGGGGCCTGCAGGAGAGGGCGGGGCCCAGGCAGGTGTGAGCCCGATATCGCCCCATCAATCCCCGCCAATGCTGCCTCCTCGCAGAGGACCGAGAAAATCTCTACGCCGAACTCAAGGCCGGCGCCGAGTCCGGCTGGGACTTCTCTTCCCGCTGGTTCGTCGGAAAGTTTTCCAAGCCCAACTCGCTGAGCGGCATCCGGACCAGCCGGCTGGTGCCCGTGGACCTCAACGCCTTCCTGTGCAAGGCGGAGGAGTTGATGAGCCAATTCTATGCCACCCTGGGTGAGCACCCCAGGGCGAGCACAAGCAGCATGGGGGAGGGTGGGGGCCTGCTACTGGGCCCCTCCTGCAGTTGGGGAGAGAAAGTGCCTGCCCTTTTGTGTCTGTGCTAGGAACCAAACTCAGTTCCTCCATGGGCCCCACTTACCTTACTCCCCTCCATCTACTACTGGGGCCCGTGGGTGTTCTCAGAGGGCACCTTTGTCCACAGCCTTACCCAAACGCGTTCCACTCCTGAGCAGCCACCGACCCTTAGCCACAGAGGACCTCAGAGGGCCACCAGCCGCTCAGGACCCTGTGGTGGACAGACCACTGCTTGGCAGCCCAGTCTTGAGGGCTGCAGGGGTTTGGCCCCAGCAGATGTGGCCCCTGGGCTCGGGGCTCTGTAGTCCTTGGGGAGAGTCATCAGAAAAGCTCAAAAGCAGGGATTCGAGGGCCCAGGTCAGACTCTGCCTAAACCCAGTGCTGCCTCAGGGAACAACCAGCAGGCCCAGAAGTACCGGAACCTGCGGGCACAGCGCATGGAGGCCATGCAGGCCCTCATGTGGGACCAGCAGAGGGGCGCCTGGTTCGACTATGACCTGGACGAGAAACAGAAGAACCCAGAGTTCTACCCCTCCAACCTGACGCCGCTCTGGGCCGGCTGCTTCCAAGACCCGAAGGTCGTGGACCAGGTTCTGAAATACCTGGAGGTGAGGGACAGCAGGTCGGTGGGGACACGGGGACCCTCCAGGACCTCAGCCAGGGCGGCCCCTCCCTCCTGCCCAGCCCCAGTAGCCTGCGCTTCCCGTCATGACCACCAGGCGGCAGCAGGGGACCGGGAAGAGAAGCCCAGGAAAGGGTCAAGGGCTTTTAGGGGAGCCAGCGGCCCCACTGCCCCTCAGAGCCCACCCAAGTCCAGAGCACTGCCTGTCTGCACCCCTCTAGGACAACAAGATCCTGACCTACAAGCACGGGATTCCTGCCTCTCTCAAAGACTCGGGCGAGCAGTGGGACTGGCCCAATGCCTGGGCCCCCCTGCAGGACCTGGTCATCAGAGGTAGGAAGGGACCTTGGGGAGAGGGGAGGTCTCTGGGGCTGGGGGCGTGGGGAAGGGGCCTGCCTGATGGGGGTGGGGAAGAAGGGGTCGAGGCCTGTCTCCACTGTTCTGGGCCTCCCACTGGGCAGGCACCTAGCCTGTCCCCTCCCCTGTCCCGGCCCTGGCTTAGGGCAGGGTGTTCCGCCCGGGCAGGGGTATGAGTACTGATGCCTCCTGTCTCCAGGGGTGAGGACTCTGCTCTGGGCACGGGGAGGGGGGGAGGGCGGGGAGGGGGGTCACCTCTGGACACTCAGGCTCCTGTCTGGCTGGGGTCTAGGTCTGGCTAATTCGGATTCAAAGCGGGCCAAGGAAGTGGCTTTTCAGCTGGCCCAGAACTGGATTCAAACCAACTATGACGTCTTCTCCAGGACGTCGGCCATGTATGAGAAGGTGAGTGGGGGGGGGCTCCTGGGGCGGGCCTGGGGCTCTGCAGGGCTGGGGAAGCCCAGGCTCGACCCGTGGACAGCGGCGGCACCTGGTGGCCGAATCCGGGTACTGCAGGGGTCTGAGCTGCAGCCCAGCAGCTGCTCCCAGCGAGCTCCCCAGCTGGCTTCCGCGGGTGAGCCCCAGGGCAGAGCCTTCAGGTGCCCTCTTGTCCCCAGTATGACATCTCCAACGGTGGGCAGCCGGGAGGCGGAGGAGAGTATGAAGTTCAGGTGAGTGAGCCTGTGTCTCGGGTCAGCAGTGCCCTATCGTGATGGCCCTGTGGTGCCCCCTGCCTGTGGGGTCCCCTGGTATGGTTGGTGCTGCCCATCTTGGGGAGGATGAGTCTCTGGGTGTGGGTCCACAGCCCTAGCAAAACACTTGGGGGCCTTCTGCCTCGCTCACTGGCCACCATCTCTCCAGGAGGGCTTCGGCTGGACCAACGGCATGGCCCTCATGCTCCTGGACCGGTACAGTCAGCAACTGAGGTCCAGTTCCCAGACAGTGCTCTCTCAGCCGCTCTGCCTGGTGGCCGCCCTGCTGTCCACCTTCCTGCTCAGCTTCCTGCCCCAGTGAAGGCCTCGCCACCACGTGGCCTATTAAACTGCTCTGAACCCACCTTCTCCTGCCTCTTCCGTGTCCATCTCCAGAAGCGGGCCGCCCTCCTTCACCCCGCGCTCCCAAGACCTCTGATCCCCGTGGAACGGGGCCAAGGAGGGGACCTGCGTGTCCCCGGGCACATTTTCAAGGGAACATGAGCTGCCTGCCCCCGCGTCTCCCGCTGGCAGGCCTCCCACATACTCCAAATGCTTTATTGTTCTGTTGAGATGCTTACAAATACTGAAAAACGCCCAGCCGCCGCTGGGGAGGGCAGAGCTGGGCTTAGTGTTAAGGCGCAAAGGGCCGAGGCCAGTCCATTCTTGCTTTCCCAAGTGTCTGGGGCGGAAGAAGGGCAGCTGGCCAGGGCCTGGGCGCTGCCTCCTCCCTGCCCCCGCTCAGACTGTCCCTCTGGAAGCCCCGGAGCGGCCCGACCCCCCTCCCGCCCACCCGCCCCCACTTCCTCTCCCGCACCCCGAGCTCCGGCATCTCTCCGTCCGTTGCTTCGTCCCTTCTGGCTCTATGCAAGGCACAAGTGGAAGGGAGAGGGCTGCGGGCTGTGGGCCACAGGGAGGAGGTTCGGGGCCTCCCTCCCGCAGGGTACCTCGCAGGCCTCGGCTGGAGAGATCGTGGCAAGGACCCTGGTGTGGTGACCGTGGTGAGCCCTGGAGCGAGTAACGAAGAGAAACCGGGGGTGGGAGGGGAGAGTGAGGCAGGAGAGGACCCCCGCGGAGCTGACACCCCCCCTCCCACTCTGGATGTTGCTCGGCTCAGCCCCCCAAGGCTCGGGCGGAGGGGAGGGTGGCAAGGGGGGAATCTTTGGCAGATTCTGGTACCGTCGAGTGCCCGGACAATGAGAAGCCAGGACAGGGCGCGGGCGGCGCCGCTTCTGGCCTCCCCACCATCGTGGTTGGTGGCTGGTCCTTTAGGGACCGAAGTCCGGGTTCATACTTGAGCGTCTCCCCGTCGGCACGGCACTGCCTCTTCCCAAGCTGGAGAGAGCCGCGTGGGGGCGGGGGCTGGGGCCGGCGCCCAGCCAGGGTCGGGGAGATGGAGGTGCAGGCAGGTCAGTTCATGAACTGAGTGTAGCCCTCGGCGCCCGTGACGATGACGTCCATCCAGATGCGCATGGCCTCGGCCGATGGCGCCACCATGTAGTAGAGCCGGTCGTGTGTCTTCACGCAGAAGGTGAGCGCCGGGTTGGGACTCTGCCGGGAGGAGGAGGTCTGAGCCGGCCACACGCAGCCGCGCGTCCCCAGCTCCAGGGTAGAGTGGAGGCCTGCGACGGCCTCACAGGCCCTGGGCTGAGGCTGAGATGCCCCTCACACGTGCGCCAGGGCTGCGCTTCCTTGGTGACCCAGACTCAGAAGTGAATGTTGAAAGATCCAGAACCAAAGCGCGGCGCCAGGCCTCGCAGCCCAAGAGCGGGTGGGCAGGAGAGCTCTGGAGGGTGCTGGACCCCAGGGGCGGCGGCGATGAGGGTCCCCGCCTCCCGGCAGGCATCCGAAGCCTGGCCTGGGGAATTGGGAGACTGGCCTGCCTTAGGGAGAAGCCCTGGGCTCCCCGCTGCCCCAGCAGCCCCCCTTCAGGCCTGGGGACGGAGGAGGGGGTTCTAAGGGCAGAGTCAAGGGTGAGGTGGGGGGCACGGGAGGCGTTAATGTACAGTAGTCTGGTTACGAGGGTGTTGCAGGGATATACCTCGGTCACCAGGGTGAGGCTGAGAAACTTCTTCTGGGGAGGGGAGACGGAGAGACGGAGACATTCACAGAGGGAACAGGGGGGTCCCAAGCCTGCGTGTCCCCTCGTCCTCCCTGCAACCCCCCACTGTCTCCGCTGCCCTCACCTTGGCTGCGCTGCGCAGGTGGTCGTAGTACACCTCCTCGATGGCCTGGAAGTAGATGACCCCCTTCAGCTTGGTCTCGTGCTTGTCTGCAAAGGCAGTGAGGCCGCGCTGAGGGAGGCAGACCAGGCGCCGGGGCCCGCAGTTCCCATCTGGGAAACGGGGTGACCCCAGCACAAAGCCAGCCCCCCCCCCATACACATAGAGGGGTCCTGAAGGCGCGATCTGGGCCCCACCTGGCTCCAAATTTGAGATCCCTCTTCTCGCCGGTGACAAGGGTCCAGCCACAGCCCCATGGGCAAAGGTAGGGTGGTCAGGGTCACCGAGAGGAAGGACCACAGGCCCTCCCAGCTTAAAGCAGAACTTGCCTTTCACCGGCGCGAAATGGCATCCGCCAGGTTCATTGTCACCCCAGCCGGCGTCACAAGACTGGCACCCACCCGAGCAGGGGGGACTGAGGGTGGGGGAGAGTGCAGAGGCTCGGAGCACAGGAGGCCTCGGTTCTGTCCCCAGCCTGCATGGTTCCCGGGCCACCAAGCCAGGAGCATGGCCAGGCATTGTCACAAAGAAAAGTGAGGGGCTGGAGTGATAGCACAGCGGGTAGGGCCTTGCAAGCGGCCGACCCGGGTGCGATTCCCAGCATCCCTTATGGTCCCCTGAGCACCGCCAGGAGTAATTCCTGAGTGCAGAGCCAGGAGTAACCCCTGAGCATTGCTGGGTGTGACCAAAAAATAAATAAATAAAATAAGGGAATTTATGTATCTGTTTGCATTCCCCGGAACTCTGGGATATACAGATGAATAAGGTAAAGGTAAAGGTAAAGGTAAAGGCCCTCCCGTTGATCATCGATTTGCTCGAGTGGGCCCAGTAACGTCTCCATTGGAGACTTTGTTGTTACTGTGTCTGGCATATCGAATACGTCACGGGGAGCTTGCCAGGCTCTGCCGTGCGGGCGAGATACTCTCAGTAGCTTGCCAGGCTCTCCGAGAGGGGCGGAGGGATCGAACTTGGGTCGGCCATGTAGGCTGCGTGCAAGGCAAACGCCCTACCGCTGTGCTATCGCTCCAGCCATACAGATGAATAACCTGGCTAAAGGCTAACGGTGACCAGTGTAAATGTCTACAAATGTTTTGCCTTTTAAACAATCTGGTTCAAACTGCTGACAATTTTAATGTTTTTTTTTTTTAAAAAGTGGGGGGCTGGAGCGAGAGCACAGCGGGTAGGGCCTTTGCCTTGCACAGGGCCGACCCGGGTTCGATTTCCAGCATCCCATATGGTCCCCTGAGCACCGCCAGGAGTAACTCCTGAGTGCAGAGCCAGGAGTAACCCCTGTGCATCGTCGGGTGTGACCCAAAAAGAAAAAAATAAATAAAATTTTTTTAAAAAAATTGAGAAGAAAGGGGATGGGGCAGAGTGATAGCACACCAGTAGGGTGTTTGCCTTGCATGTGGCTGACCCAGATTTGATCCCTGCATCCCATATGGTCTGCCAAGCACCTCCAGGAGTAATGTAATTCCTGAGTGTAAAGCCAGGAGTAAGCCCCAAGCATCATTGGGTGTGGCCCAAAATCCAAATAATAAAAGAAAAATAAATTTAAAAAGTGGCAGGGCCAGAGCGATATCCCAGTGGGTAGGGCACTTGCCTTGCACATGGCCAACCCCAGAAGGATCCCCAACACCCCAAAGGATCCCCCAAGCACTTCCAGGAGTGATTCCTGAGCACAGAGTCAGGGGAAGTCTTGAGCACCACTGGGTGTGATCCAAAACAAAGGAAATAATAAAAACAAATAAATACAATAAAATAAAACTGTTCATAAAGTAAAAACAAAGAAAAAATGGGGTTGGAGAGAGACTCAGAGGGCCGAGCACCAGTGCTGCACTGAGGAGGCCGGGCCCACCCCCAGCACAGCTGGACCCCAGTACCACCAGAGGGGGCCCGGGAGCACAGCGGGCCGCAGCCCAAACACCCCAGACACACACACAAAGGAGGGAAGCCTGGAGCAGGCTGGGGTGGCAGGAAGGAGGCGGGCCAGTGTCAGAGTGACCGGGCGGGGAGGCACAGGCCTGCCCTGCTGGCGGCCAGCACACTCCGTGAGCGAGAGACCTAAGGAAAGGGACACCCCAGCACACAGGGGGCAGCTGCCCAAGGGCTCCCCCCACCCCGTGCTCTCAGTGTGGACCTGCCTGGCCCATAGCTGCCCCAACCTTCCCCTCATCTGAGGGCTGAGCTCATGAGGCAGCTCCATCCCCCACCCCTGAAAGCCTTCTGTCCCTCCCCCAAGTGGCCTGCTGGGTGGCTCCTGCCTCCTCCCCTCTGGGGTCCTAGTCTCCAGGGATCTGTGGCCCTGGCCCCTTTCCCTCTGCAAACTCCCTGGCGACTGCAAGGCCCCAGGGGAAAGTCACACCCTCCCAGTGCTCCCCCCACAGTCTGGACCCGTCTTTCATGCACTCAGTCAGCCTCCCCACATCCCACAGCGGGTGGTGCTCAGTCCTGCCCAACAGCCGAGTCCTGGCTCAGGGATGCAGAGAAAATGCCAGAACCTAATGCGAAGAGGCACACACATCAGCCAACACAGCTGAGGAAGACCCAGAGCAGCCACAGGCCAGACTGTCCAGGGGGTGGAGAGCAGGAGTTCCAGCATACACAGAGCCTGGCATGACAGTGCACTCCCGGCTGGCGCCCTCTGCCCTGTACTACGCCCCCAGGCTGCTGGATCAACCCTGTACCACCACCCCCAGGCTGGCGCCCCCTGCTGGACCAACCCTGTACCACCACACCCCAGGCTGGCGCCCCCTGCTGGAGCAGCCCTGTATCACCGCACCCCAGCATGGCGCCCCCTGCTGGAGCAGCCCTGTACCACCGCACCCCAGGCTGGCGCCCCCTGCTGAAGCAGCCCTGTACCACCACACCCCAGGCTGGCGCCCCCTGCTGGAGCAGCCCTGTATCACCACACCCCAGCATGGCGCCCCCTGCTGGAGCAGCCCTGTACCACCGCACCCCAGGCTGGCGCCCCCTGCTGAAGCAGCCCTGTACCACCACACCCCAGGCTGGCGCCCCCTGCTGGAGCAGCCCTGTATCACCACACCCCAGCATGGCGCCCCCTGCTGGAGCAGCCCTGTACCACCGCACCCCAGGCTGGCGCCCCCTGCTGGAGCAGCCCTGTACCACCGCACCCCAGGCTGGCGCCCCCTGCTGAAGCAGCCCTGTACCACCACACCCCAGGCTGGCGCCCCCTGCTGGAGCAGCCCTGTATCACCACACCCCAGGCTGGCGCCCCCTACTGGAGGAACCCTGTGTGTCCTAGGCTGGCGCCCCCTGCTGAAGCAGCCCTGTATCACCAAACTGCCCAGGCAGGCGCCAAACACACCCTCATCCAAACATGATCTCACTTTTGTTTCAGACATTAACGAATGCCACTGTTCCAGGAAGCAGCCCAAGACCTACATGTGGCTTCCTTCCTGCCTTTTGTCCCTCCTCCCCCGCCAGGCCCTTCCCTACCCTCCTATCCCCAAAGGTGCCCCACCCCACCTCCTTTCTAGCATGACCCAGGTTGTTTTGATTCTGCTAGTCCTGACTTTGTCAGCCTCATTTTCGTTCTCTGTGAAATGGGTATAAAATAATGCTTCTAGGCTGGGCAGACAGTTCAAAGGGCTGGAGCACATCTTTGGTACAGCTGGAGCTCCCGATTCAACCCCCAAGTACTACTGTCTGTGGCCCCCAGGCAAAAAAGCAAATAGTAAGTGCTTCCGTAGAGGGTTACCCGAAGGCTAACAGACATGGGCCAGGTGTGCGAGCACAACGTGGACGTTAGCTCCCATGGCCAGGAGAACCGGCCCTGACCTCCCGTCAGCCCCTGGGCAGCCCCACAGCAGCCCCACCACGTTTCGTTTCGGGTATCAGCCTCCCTGAGCCCGAGCCCCTAGGAGACAGCTGTGGCGCCCGTCCGATTGGCCGGAACGTCCAGCTGAATGGAGGGTGGATGAGTGAGGGAATAAATGTAGTGACCCAGGCGGGGGTTGGACAAGGCCCAGCCCTTGCCCCGCTCTGCTTGGAGCTGTCTGGGCTGGCAGAGCCGGGGTGGGTGGGGGCTGGGGGCTCGGGCAATCCTGCAGGCACTCACCCACGTAGTAGGAAAGGGTGCGCTTGAGCCGGTCGAAGACAAACCAGCGTTTCTTCCAGGATTTAATCTTGCCACCCATCTTGACCAAGTAGCCGCGGCAGACCTGGAGGGGAGAGGGCTGAGGAAGGACCCCAATGCACAGCCCTCGGGAGCCCTCAGTGCCCTGACCCCCACGGGCAGGTGCCAAGGCAGAGGCGGGAGCCCAGGCCCACATGTTCTGGCCACGTGGGTCGTACCTTGCTGCTGAGCACCACGTGGAGGCACGTGTCCACCCCGTGGCCTGAGGACTCGATGTGTGTCTTCAGGTCAAAGTCCTCCTTCCGGATGGGAAGGTACCGGGTCAGGGGCCGTGCCTGTGGGGGGCAGGTTCAGCAGAGGGTGAACCCTGGTGCAGACCCCTGGGCCCACACAGCTGCCCTCGGGCGCCCCTGCTGTAACTGCGCCCTGGCCCCTCCTCCCTCCCTGCAGTGAGGCCAGGGCTCTGCGGCTTAGCTGCACCGTGGGTTCCTTTGCCTTAGTTTCCCCACCGGTGACCAAGAGAAGGCCGTCCATGTCTCTGCTCAGGGGCTGCATGGAATGAAGCAAGAGGCCAGGTGGTCAGGCCCCCGGGAGGGGCATCCATGCAGAAATTGCACCGCCAATGCCTAGCAGGAGGGTCCTGTCCTCCTGGCCCACCCTTGTAGGCAAAACAAGGGGTCTGAACCCGTGATTGTGAAGGTCTGGCTCTCCTCAAATACCCTGATAACAGGAGCAAGTGAGGCACTTGCTGTGTATGTGGTTGGCCAGGGAATGAGCCCTGCCATCGCAGGGACCCCCAGGCCACGCTGGGGAGACCCCCAAACAGAACCAGGAGTAGCCCCTGTGCCCTGCTGAGTATGGCCCCCCTAAACAAAAAAATCTGATGATGACAGCTAGAATTCACAGTCTATTGGAACTTTTTCCACTCTTCCTTTTGGAGAGCATTAGAATGACGAGAAAGCAAACAAAACTTACTAGAAACGAAGCATACAACTTCAGTTGATGCCAAAGATGACTGAGCCGCCCCTCCCTGGGCAACCGCCCTGGAGTTCCAGGACATGGCCTGAGGCAGGACAGGACCAACTCTAGACCAAGAGCTGAAGATTTCCTCACCCTAAAACCTGCTCCGGTGGACCCCTCAGAAGGTGTTGGCTGGCAGGACGGCAGGGAAATGTGGGTGCCGGGCACTGCTGGGAGGCCCCAGGACCCCCCAGAGAGGGCTTGGAGACCCCCTGGGAATGGACAGCCTGTGTGCCTCTTGCAGCGGGGCTAGCTTGGGACAGACCCTGCATCTCACTTGTCTCCCGTGTTCCCCACCAGCACCAGCCCCTGCAGTGGAAGGGACTGGGGCAGGTGAGGGGTGAGGACGCGCTGGGTTTCAGGGGGAACACGAGGGAGACTTGCTAAGGGACCTCACTACAGCAGCCCAGAGGTCCCCAGGTGCATCCACGACAGGCGGTGGCCAGAGGCTGCAGGGCCTCAAGGGACAGGGAGCGGCTGCAGCAGGCTGGGGCAGAGGTGAGGCCAAGGGAGGTCACGGACATCACCTGACTCTGGTCTCTTCCAGGGCCCAGGAGATTCCTGCTGAGCCAACCAGAGATAGCAGCAGGGGCCCCGGGGCCAGGCCTCAGCCCTGCCCAGCTCACCTTCAGGGTCCTGGGGACCCAGACCTCAGCCCCTCGCCCAGCTGACCTGCAGGGTCTTGGGGGGCGGGCAGGGGTCCAGGCCTCAGCCCCTTGCCCAGCTGACCTGCAGGGACCCAGGGAGCCGGTCCTCAGCCCCGCCCAGCTCACCTGCAGGGTCCTGGGGACCCAGACCTCAGCGCCTTGCCCAGCTAAGCTGCAAGGTTCCCAGGGGGCCAGTCCTCAGCCCCGCCCAGCTCACCTGTGAGAACTGCTTCTCTCGCAGCTTCACCTCCTTCTCCACCAGCTGCTGCCTCCGTGCGCTCTCGCTCTGCAGCCTCCGTTCCACCTGCTCCCGCCGCCGCCGCTCTTCCTCCAGGGCCTGCCTGCGCAGCTCCATCTCCCGCTCCTGCCCCAGAGCCCGGCTCAGTGCTTGGTGCTCGGGGCCCACTCTGCCCGCCCAGGCCCGGGCCCCCGCGGCACACCCAGCTCTGAGGGCCCTTGTTGGCATGGTCCCTGCTGCAAAAGCCCCTTCCCCAGGTCAGAGCAATAGTCCAGTGGGGAGGGCGTTGGCCTTGCACGGGTGGCCGATCCGGGTTCGATTCCCGGCATCCCATAGGGTCCCCTGAGCACCACCAAGAGTAATTCCTGAGTTCAGAGCCAGGAGTAACCCCTGAGCATTGCCGTGTGTGACCCAAAGCAAAAAAAAAAAAAATTGATTTTAAAAAATAGAATATGGCCGGAGTGATAGCAGAGAGGGTAGGGCGTTTGCCTTGCATGCGGCCAACCCGGGTTCAATCCCCAGCATCCCATATGGTCTCCCAAGCACCACCAAGAGTAATTCCTGAGTTCAGAGCCAGGAGTAACCCCTGAGCATTGCTGGGTGTGACCCAAAAAGCAAAAAAAAAAAAAAAAAAAAAAAAAGAATAAAACACCTTCCCACATTGAGAGCCTGGAAATAGGGGTGACACCCCCCAGCCTTGGCTATCTCAGCTACAACACAGGGTGAGGGCTGCTCTTGGGCACACGGCAAGGACCAGATGAGTCCCTGTGTGTGAGTGCTCCCCGCCCCCGCAGGAAGGGAACCCTCAAAATAAATGGGTTCTGGTCATCCTGTCCTGAAATCCTAGGACAGCGTTTCTCCACATACTCATCAGCCCTGCCCAAAGCACCAGGGCCCTCTGCAACTCCAAATTAGAAACTTGGGTATTTTTTGTTCTGAGTTTGGTCTTGGGCCACACCCAGTGGTGCGCAGAGGCTATTCCTGGCTCTGTGCTCAGGGAACCACAAGAGGTGGCAAGGATTTGAACCGGGGTTAGTGGGGGGCATGGCAAACGCTGAAGTCCCGCTCTAGCTCTTGGGACCAAACTAGACACGTGTAGTTGAACTTCAAGTTTTCGGGAGTGGCAGGGGGGTGGAGGTGGGGGAATAAACTTATGAAAGTCTCTAGCAAAAAATATTTCCAAACTCCTTAGAAGGAATCATGCAACGAAGTGCATGTCGGGAGTGTGTCAGATCTTGCTCACTTGCTTTGGGACCGCACCCAGTGGTGTGCAGGGACCAGGCAGTGATGGGGACAGAACCCAGGGCCACAAGCGTGTGCTCCAGCCTCTGAGCCATCTCTCCGGTCCCTGTTTATGTCTTATCAACAAGAACCACCATATCATGAACTCCCATTCTTCTCCCTTTCTCCCCGGTGGGGGGAGGGAGACACAGAATCTTCTTTCTTTTCTTTTTTTTTTTTGCACTTTGGGTCACAACCGGTGATGCCCAGGGGTTAGTCCTGGCTCTGCACTCAGAATCACTCCTGGCGGTGCCTGAGTATATGGGATGCTGGGGCCTGAACCCAGGTTGGCCGCGTGCAAGGCAAACGCCCTACCATTCTTTTCTGGTTGGCAGACCAGGTCCCACTATCATCTCCAGAAAGGTGGGAAGACCCCAAAGCCTCTGCACCCCGATATTCCAGCTCTCCCCAAGCCTGCCGTGCGCAATGTAAGCCCCTGGTCCCCCGTGCTCCAGGCCCACATTAAAGCTACCCTGCTCTGTGTGGACTCCTGCCAGCTCTCTTCCCTCTCCCCGCACCCCCAGTTCCTAAGCACCCCCAGAGGAACCACCTGGCCTCAGGTGGACCGGACTCAAGATTCATATGGCCGCCAAAACGTCCACAGAGGTGGAAACCCCCGGGGCCAGTAGCTGCCATCCCAAGCGGGTTGGACAATGCCTCCCCGACTTCCTCGTTCCCTCAGAGCCCGGCTGGGAAACTCATCATCTCGGCGACCTCCCTGCCCCCCAGGAGCACAGACTTTCAAAACACTCATTCCTCAGGGGACTGTCGCAAGGCTAGTGCAGGCGAAAGGGCGTGCGACGTCGAGGAGGGGGGCCCCCCACCCCCGCCCGGCTCACCCTGGACTCCACGAGCCGGCTCTTCTCCGCGTGAGCTTCCTTGAGCAGCTTCTCCATCTCTTCGATCTTGCCCACGTCCAGGCCGCTGGCACTGGGGAGCGGGCAGCGTCAGGACGTGGAGGCGGGTGGGCGCGTGGGGCGCGGCGGGGCTGGCGGGGCGCGGCGGGGGGCGGGCGGCACCTGGACATGTTGTCGGGCGAGCAGGCCGAGGCGGCGCCCGTGGAGATGCTGGTGTCCATGCTGTCTGAGCTCTCCAGGCTCAGCGTGTCGTAGGCGTGCGGGCCCTCCTCGCCGTGCTCCCGGCCGGCCGGGAGGTGGTGCAGGATGGAGTGCGGCGGGTACGGGGCCGTCCCGTGCAGCGCCTCCCACTGGCACTGCGCGTCGGCCACAGCCTTCTGCTTCAGCTCTGCCAGGCGCCGCCGCTGCTCCTCGATCACCTGCTGCCCTGCGGAGGCGGGGACGAGGGTCGTCACCGGGGCGTCCACCACCCCTGCGGCAGCTCTGCCCAGGTTCCCACCGAGGCCCGCAGTCCACAGCCTGAGTCACACCGGGCACCCCAAACCGCCCCGAGAGTGGGGTCTGGCAAGACGGGGGTGGGGGGGCAGGAGGCACCCCTCCTTGCAGGTGGGGACTCCGGCACCCGCCCTACCTGCCGCCAGGACAGGAATGGGACGCGAGGGCAGGAGCCCCAGCAGCACTGGGAGCCCATGCGGACCTAGCTGCGGAGGCAGAAGCAAGAACTAGAACCTCAGAGAAGCAAGAAGGGAGCGAGGGAAGCGCAAAGCGGAGGCAGGAGAAGGCTCCACACGCCAGGCAGGGCCGGGCTCGCTCGGCTCAGCCTGCAGCTCTCGCAGGGAACACCGGGACCAGGCCCAGCATGCAGGGGCTCGAGCAGGGGCTTGTCTGGACAAAGCGAAACTCTCCGTGACCAACGCTCTACCTGCTGGGTTGTCGGTTGGGAGGGGCTCGGCAAGGAGCGACTCGGCTGGTGTGGGGGGGCCCGAGCAGAGGGCAGGGCAGAGACGCAGAGGGAGAGGAGAGAGAGGCAGACACAGGCTTTGAGAACAATCAGAATGTGCCCCAGGCCCCTGGAGCCAGCATCGGGAGGCCATCTTAGGGGTCACTCAGCGCGCCCTTCCCCAGACCAGACCCTGTCTCCCTGCTCAGCCACCACGCAGCTCCCCTCACCTGCTGAGGTCTCTCCCACCCCTCCCCCCCAGAGTCCCCCTGGGGCTCCTGAGAACGCTCCAAAAAACCTTGTTCTTTGTGATATTTTTTTTTTTTTGCTTTTCAGGTCACACCCGGTGATGCTCAGGGGTTACTCCTGGCTCTGCACTCAGGAATCACTCCTGGCGATGCTCAGGGGGACCATATGGGATGCCAGGGATTGAACCAGGGTCAATCACGTGCAAGGCAAACGCCCTCCCCGCAGTGCTATCGCTCCAGCCCTTCATGGTTGCCCGTTTTTTTTTTTTTCTTTATGGGTCACACCTGGCGATGCACAGGAGTTACTCCTGGTTCATGCACTCAGGAATTACTCCTGGCGGTGCTCGGGGGACCATATGGGATGCAGGGAATCGAACCTGGGTCGGCCGTGTGGTATAAGGCAAACACCCTACCCGCTGTGCTATTGCTCTAGCGCCCCTTTGTGGGCTTTTTTTTTTTAACGTTTCCTTGGGCCACACCTGGCAGTGCTCAAGGATCACCCCAGGCAGGGCTCAGGTGACCCTATGGGGTTTTTGGGATTGAACCCAGATGGACTATCTGGCCTGCCTCCACTGTTGCTGTAGCCCAGGAAGCTCTTTGAATGGAAACGGTCTCTGCCTAGAGATGGGCCCCGGGAGGTGTGGCCGGCCCGGGGCCCTGCGGACACTCACCCTTCTGCTGCAGGGCCAGCTGCCGCTTGTTCTCGATGTCCTGCAGTGTGGCGGCCAGGTTCCGGGGTAAGCTGCCCGTGCAGTTCTGGGCCACGAGGGTGTTCTAGGGGAGACGGAACCCGGGGCCTGAGGCTCAGACAACACCCCCCCAGGCTGCCCTCCCCTGAAGACACTCCTCCGCCCACCTCCCTCTCACTCCCATGGCCCGGCCACCGCCTTCGGACCTTTGGGGATGGGCTGCGGCCCAGGGTAGCCACGCTGAGCTGTGAGGAGGAGGAAGAGGAGCCAGAGGAAGAGGGGAGTGGGCCGCTGCGGGTCCGGGGCAGTGGGCTGCCGGCCTCCCCGTCAATCTTGGAGCGGTAAACCTAGAGGGCAGAGGGCAGAGGGCAGGGGTTGAGGTCTGGACTCTGCGCTGGCCCCTGCCTGCTTCTGAGGACAAGGGGCCGTGACCAGGGGCAGCTGCCCAGTCTCCCAGGGCTGAACCCCAACAGCTGCTGCTTCTGTCAGAGGTCCAGCAGACACCCAGAGGCTGTGAACCCCAGGTCGCCGCTGACCGGCTGCGTCTCCCCCCAAAGGGGGGGACCCTGGTCTTGCCTGGCCTCCAATCAAGCACCCCCATTCAGTGCAGGCCCCTCTGCCCTCCTCCCAGATGTGGGGAGCTGGGGAGAGTGCGGAGCTTCTCAGTCCCATGTCCCAGCTGTGAAATGGGGGTTCTTGGTGACACGAATGGAAGAGAAGGAGGGGGAGGAGCTGGGCACTGGGGGAAACTGAGGCACCGGAGAACAGTCAGACCGCTGCAGAGCCCCTGTGACATGCTCAGTCGAGGGCTGAATTTGGACCGTGCCATCCCGGGTCCTGACGCAGGTCAACTGAGAGGGGCGTCAGGGAGGGGCCCCCTTGCTCATTCCGTGAGGGCAAGAGGGAGGGCGGGGGCAGGGAGCACTGTTGCAGGAGTCCCGGGTTTCATCCTGCCACACACCCTGAGCAGGCCCAGGGCTGCCCGTTAAGTCTCTGTGTTCCTCCAAGGGTCCCCTTAGGGAGACCGAAGAGGCAGCAAAATGCAGGTGGTTCTCCCCAAACATGCTCGTTCAAGCTACAGCAGGTCCAAGGGGGCCGAAGCCCGCTGGGCAGCCCAGCCCGGTCAGCAGAGCAGTAGCCACCCTTCCCTGCTCTGGACGTCACTACCTGACAGCCGAGGACACATGGCCACTGACGGAGAGCTCCGCCCTGCCCTCTCTGGGCCCCGGGGTCCCTGCTGTCCCCCCCAACTCCCCACACAGCGCGGTGCAGAGCTGGGGGTCGCGGCCGTTAAGGGGGTTACCTGCAGCTGCCGGCAAGCTTTGGCGGGCAGAGGCGGGGGGGAAGAGCGTGGGGAGGCCGCGACGGGACCCGTGCCCAGCCCGGCCATCAGCTCCTGGTACCACTGTTCTAAGTCTACAGCAGGGAGCAAGAGCTTCTCCATCTGGCAGGGGTGCGGGGGGGGGGAGAGGCAGGACAGAGAGGGCCGGGCAGGGTGGGCGGGGGTGGGAACGTCCCGTCCGGGAGCCAACAGGAAGGAGGGAAAGGACAGAGGAGCGGGAAGGGAGGGAAGAAAGCAGAAAGAGAAGAGAAACAACTGAGAAAACAGCGGCGGTGAAGGTGCTCAGGGCGGAGAGACACGGGGCAGGACCCGGCCAGAGACCAGAGACACAGGCAGGCACGTGGCAGGACCGCACAGACCACCAACCTTGGGCGCAGGCGCGACAGAAGCGAAGGAAGAGGAGGAGGGCAGCCGGGGAGGAAGGCGGGTGGGCCCCAGGTCCCAGGAGGCGGACGCCCGGAGCGGCAGGCCCGGGGCAGGGCCTGTGGGTGCAGACGGGGGGCCCCACACGGCCTTTAGATGCTCAAGCGTCACGTACTTGAAGGGGATGCGGATGGAACACAAGAGGTTAGTGGGACCCGAGAGAGATGCCGAGGGTCAGGTAGAGGCCCCCAGAGCAGTCCCTGGCAGCAGCAGCTGGCTCAGGGGAGAGAGAGGCCCCCGCAACCCGCAGCTGAAGACAAACCCTCCTGCCCTGACGCCCAGGACCATTCAGGGGACCCGGGCAGGGAGAGGACCTCGGACACTGGTACCTCACTGCCAGGCAAGGGCAGGGCGGGCACGCTGGGGGAGGTGGCCGAAGCAGGGGGGTCCGCACGGGCAAACAGCTGGAGTACCTCTGCCAGGCTCACATAGTCCTAGGGCACCCGGCAGATGGGCGAGGGATGGCAGAGAGATTAACGGGTGCCCGCAAGTCCGCAAGAGCAACACTCCATGCCTCTCAGCACGCCATTCCGTACACAATGCAGGGTGGGCTGGGGGCTGCTGGGGGCCAGCCGGGAGGCCCAAGAAAGGACATCAGCATCGACGTCCAGGGGATTGGAGCCACAGTAGAGTGGGGAGGGCGTTTGCCTTGCACATAGCCAACCTGGGTTCGATCCCCAGCATCCGATAGGGTCCCCCGAGCACCGCCAGGAGTAATTCCTGAGTGCATGAGCCAGGAGTAACCCCTGAGCATCCGCTGGGTGTCACTCAAAAAGAAAAAAAAAAAAGTCGACATCCAGGACAGACTGATGCACAGACTGACCGATTCTATTCTCAGGTGCCCGGAGCATTCAGACCCTGCCCCAGGCTGCCCCTGAACGTCCATCCCTGGGGACAGGGGTGGGGGCTGGCAATGACTCTGAGAAAGAGTCTGGTGCCCCAATGCCCCAAGTGTAACACCAGGGACACCCCCCACTGGGGCACACACTGCAGCATACGTCTGCTCAGACCACGGCTTCAGGGCAGCCAGGGGACGTGAGGGGGTTGCCAGGCCACTGGCCTGAGCAAACGGTCTGGGGCATAGCGGCTGAGAAGGCCTCAGTGGGGACTGGAGCGATAGCACAGCGAGGAGGGCATTTGCCTTGCACATGGCCGACCCGGGTCCAATCCCTGGCATCTCATATGATCCTCTGAGCATCGCCAGGAGCAATTCCTGAGTGCAGAGCCAGGAGTAACCCCTGAGCATCGCTGGGTGTGACTCAAAAAGAAAAAAGAAAAGCAGGCCTCGGTGGGAAGGACCCTCTGGCCCAGGGTCAGCACCAGGGAGAGGTGGGCAGAGGGGAGTGTGGCTGCAGGGGTGGGGAGAGAGGGGCCCGAGTCCAAACCCCTGCCAGAACAGCCTCTCTCCGGCTGCTGTGTGTGGAGATTGCTGGGGGGGGGGGTCATCCAAAATGCATGCTGGTGCGGGGGGGCCCACGTCCACCCACGCAGCTCCACCAGCAGTGACCACTGGGCATCACTGGGTGTAGGTCCCAAACGCATGCCCGGTCAGAACAAAATCTTCAGCCTGCCCAACCCAGGGGTGCCCGAGCGGGCCCAGCCCCGGAGGACAGAGAGAAGGAAAAGCAGAGGCTAGAGGCGGGTCCGGCGGGCCATGCAGGAGAGTGCAGAGGAGGGGCCCAGCACAGACTGCCCAGCGCGCCAGGGGACAGCACACCGGCTAGCTCACTCACACCAACAAACGCCAAAGGGTTATTGCCACAAGCCACTCAGCTGGGCCGGCAGCCAGCAGGCAGGCAGGCAGGTGGGCGGCGGGCGTGGGCAGGCGGCGAGCGGCTATTACCTCTTGTGCTTTGGGGCAGAGCAGGGTGGAAGTGGCTGGGGTTAAGGGGACAGAGGCGGTCCCGGCCTGAGAAGGGGCTGGGACCAGCCCCAGAGCCGCAGCCCCCAGCCCCGTCGCTGGGGACACCGAGAGGAGTGGTTCATCCTACAGAAAGGGCACGTAATGAGGGGGACTCTGCACATCTCCCCAGATCCCCACCCCCACCCAGCAGGGAGGGATGGAGGGAGGGAGGGAACAAGGGGAGAGGCGGGCCCCCCTTCTTGCGAAGTCTAAGCGCAACACCCACAGCTATGCCAAGAGCCCAGCTCTAGATACCAGCCCTGAGGCTTCCGGCCAGGACTCCCAGGTCCCTCTGGCTCCCTCAACTTTGTTCTCCCAGCACTGGCCCCGACCCGAACTCAGGGCTACACCCCCAAAGCCTCCTATGCCCCCAGTATCCAATCAGCCCACATGGGAAGAGCAGCCTTGGTGAGAGGCTCACGGCCGCTCCTGCTCGAGCCTGGCCCATCCAGGAGCCTGTCCCCATGCCCGGCCACAGACCCTGGTCCCCCGGCCCGCCTTACCTCCTTGAGGGTGGACGTGCTCTTCGGGAAGGGCCGGCCCCCTGTCAGCACATGGTACCTTCTTTCCAGCACGGCCAGCTTCTCCTTCTCCTGCGAGCCCGGGCAGTCAGAGGAGCCAGGGAGGAATGGTGAGGAGCGAAGCCAGGATGGGATGCGCCCCCCCAAGCCCCCCGCCGACGCCCCCCCAGGCGGGCTACCTTCTGCAGAAGCTGCAGGGACGCGTTCTTCTCCCGGGCCAGGCGCTCCGACTCCTGCACGGCCTGTGCCCGGATCTGCCCTGCCTGGCTGTCCAGGATGGCCAGGCGCTCCTGCAAGCAGGAAGTGGTCAGGCCGCAGCCACTCTCCTGCCTGGAAACCCTGAGCAACCCCTGGGCCAGCACCAGCCAAGAGCCCGAACCCCTACATCTCCCACCCACAGGTCAACACGCACAGACCCGGCCGAGTCGGACCACTGACAACCATTCCCACCTGTCCACCAACACCCAAACCCAGACCCTCTGCTCTCCTGAGCTGGCACCAGATCCCCACAACAGTGCAACACACATGCTCACACACACAGATATGCACACATGCACATATACAGACACACACAGTCACACACATTCACAAGCTCACACATGCACAGATACTCACACATGCACATGTACACAGACACACATATTCACATGCTCACACACATATACACACATATGCACATATACAGAGACACATACCTATATTCACATGCTCACACACAGTAGATACACACATATTCACATATACACAGACACACACAATCACACACATTCACAAGCTCACACATGCCCACATACACACATATGCACATATACATAAACACACACATATTCACACGCTCACACACACATGCACATACACACGTATTTACACGCTCACACATGCAGATACACACATTCACATATACACATGCACACACAGAAGACACCCGTATTCACATGCCCACACACACACACACTTGACCACACAAAGCACACAGATAAACACACACATTTCTCACGCTCACCATATACACAGTCACGTGTGCAGACACAATCACACATTCACAAACTCATGCATGCACCATATATGGCGACATGCACACACATATGCACACAGGTACAATCACATTCACAAGCTTACACATGCACATGTATGCACACATATATTCACATATACACATCCTCACACATAACACACTCAGAAATATACACTCACACACATGCATACACATATACACTCAAACGCATATATTCACACACTCACACACTGACATGTGTGCATGCACCCTCACACATTACACACGTACACAATCATACACACATTCACACACACATATATATATATACACTCACACATATATGCATGCATACTTGCATGCACACATGCACATGCTCACACATGCATGCAGTTACAATGACACACCCACCTAACACACACATGCATATCCACATGCACACACACACACACCACCCTCTGTCCCATGCTCCTATCCTGGTCCAGCCGGGCCCAGGCCCAGAGCAGACCATCCTCGTGTCTTCAGCTCCAGAGCCAGCCAGGACACATGAGCCAGTCCCTTGCTACGGCCCAGCTAAGGCCGAGGGCGCCTGCTGGGGCCCTGGGGCTGCCCTCCCCAGCACTGTGCTGCCCCATGATATCTCTGCAGCTTCTGCCCGGGACGAGCAAGCGGGAGGACGGTGTGGAGTCCCGTGCTGACTCCCACCAGCCCCTTCGCGGCGTTCACACACGCACATGCACGCCGTCCTGGCCAACGCCCCACCAAGCCAGTCCTGGTTCTCATCTTACAGCGGGGGAAACTGAGGCTCAGAGAGGTGAAGCCCGCTTTCACGAGGTCACCCCCTGGCCTGCCGGCCCGGGGCGCACACCTTCCTCTTGGCGACGCAGAGCAGCAGCTCGGCCTTGCTCCGCAGCAGCCCCTGGCCTGCCAGCTCCCGCTCCTCCTCAGCGCGGCTCTCCCGCTCCAGCTGCTGGAACTCCAGGTCCTCGAAGAGCTTCGTCTCAGTCTCCAGGACCTCGGCCTCCTGGAAAGGCAGAAATGACGGGGGCCCGTCACTCAGCTGGCCCAGAGGGCCAAGCCACAGAGGCTGGGTTCTGGGGGCTGCCGCACCGGGGGAAACTGAGGACCAGACAGGCTTCCTCCCCGCCAGACACACACACCACCACCCCCCGGTCCCTGGGTCTGTTGGCTCTGCCTCTCTCACGGGCAGCCCTGTCTGGAGCCCCAGAAAGGAAGAGCCCCGCCCCAGTCCCCTCAGGCCACAGCACAGACCCTGATGTCCAGCAGCTGGCCCCGTGCCAGGGCTCTGCTCGCTTCCTTCTCGGGGCCAGGCAAGGGGGCAGGAGACACTGACCCTTCTCAGCTGCTCCTGTAACTGTTCCCGCACTGACTCGGGGCAGTTATCGAGCTGCGTCCTGAGCTCGGCGTACAGCGCCTGGTGCGCCTCCAGGTGCCTCCGTCCTGCGGCCAGCTCCGCCCTCTCCTGGTGGACGGGAGGGGGACAGGCGGGCACAGGGGAGAAACAGAACACACACTCCTCAACTCTGGCCCTTGGGGGAACAGTAGCAGCGGCGGGGGGTGGGGAGGGTGGGCACGCAGGAGGGAGGGACACAGGCAGGAGAGGTGGGAGAGATGTGGGGTGAAAGGGCAGCAGGTCCAGGAGAGAGCAGAAGGGAAACTGAGGCAGGGAGGGTCGAGGGTGAGGGGAGATGCCAGGAGAGTAGGCGGTGCAGGGCTGGAGCACAGGCAGAGATGTTGGTCTCGGGCCCCCACACTGGACGCATCTGGGCCGGTCCGAAGGAAGAGGCCTGTTCCTCTCTAAGCCCAGTCAGGGCCCCAACCTCCCCCCCCCACCCCGCACCCCATGATCAGCAGAGGCTACTGCTCTCTCCCGCAGTGCCCAGAGACCAACATTTCTCCCTGGGACCCAGGAAAGGCTCGGGAGGGTTAAATCCAGGGGTTGGGCGCTCGGATGTGAAGGTTCCTCCAGCCCGACCCCCTTGGCCTCCCGCCCGCCTGCCCACGGTGGGGGTTGGGGTGCTAGTTCTCGGGCTGAACTTAGCAGGATGAGGGTTGCAATTAGTTCGGCCGTTGCCATGGTAACAGGAGCCCAGGAGCGGGTACTGGGAGGAGGTGGATGGCTCTGCCGGGGGCAGATGGCACCTCTGAGGGCGGGAAGGGGGCCGAGGGGAGGAGCTGGTGAGTCACCTCCCCAAGGACAGGCAGAGGAGACACTGACTCCCCCCCACCTCCTCAGAGTGGGGCCTTGGGTTGGGGGGAGGGAGGAAAGTCAAGAAAACCTTCCCCCGGCCACCAGCACTGCTACCAGCAGCCAGCGCCAAGTAACGGGCCAAATAACGGAGAGAGAGCAAAGGTCGGGGCCTCCAGGCAGTGCCAAGGTCAGTGAAAAAACAAGGTTAAGCAAGTTTCTTCGGAAAGAACTTGGAACTGTGTCCCCAGACTGGACCGTCCACCCGTAACCCCCGCCCGGCTGCCCTCCTATCCCGGCTCAGGCCGGTGCTGGGCTTCCAGCATGACCCCCTCTGTGGACTGTCCTTAGAGTGGCCCAGGTTGGGTTCCTCAATTTGGGGAGCCCCAGTGGGAGGGCAGCCACTGGCTGGCAGAGAGGCCCATCTGCGCTGTCCACAGCCAGGCCCTGCCGCGTCTGCACCGGTGCCCCCTGTTCCCTGCTGATCAAAACCTGGGGGCCCCCCGCACCGAGGAAGGGAGGAGGCAGCATTAGAGGAGAGGCTGGGGGGAGTTAGTTGCTGCTCAGCCCTGCTGGGGGGCGTGCGGAGAGCCCAGGGCATGGATTAGAGGGGGCGTTAGTGCAGGCCTGGCTGGGAAGCGTAGAGTTAATTTGGCACAGAATTTGGGAGTGTGGTTTTAGGGACCAGAGCCAAAGCTCAAAAAAAAAAATCAAAAAAATCAGAAGGGGTATGTGTGGAGTAGGGTGGGAGTCTTTTCAGAGCTTCAAAAACTGAGGAGTTGGGAGGAGGAGGACACACTCAAAAAAAAAAATCCAGAGGAGAACAAATTGTTGAGAAAATACTGTCAAGTCCAGAAATAGATGGCCCCTCCACGGCGGAGCTTTTGGAACGGTGTTGGGCATCTTGGGCGTGGCTGGCACGGCCCCTGCAGGCTGGCACGAAATCTGAAAGGGGCAGGGGCAGGCGCTGGGACCGCTGGGGAGCGGAAGCTGCAGGTCCTGAGGGCTGCCTGGAGGTGGAGATCTGACAGGCGGCTCCCAGGGCCCAGGAGCACGCTGGGAGTGGGGTTCTCCGGCCGCTGGGCCCCCAACCCGCCTGGCTGTGCTCGGGCGCTCCCTCCAGGACACATTCCCGGCACCCAGAGGCGGCACAGAGACCCCGACAGAGCCCAGCCCCCAGCCCGGCCGTCCCGGGACAGGGGAGGGGCGTGGGGCAGGCCGCGGGGGTACCTTTTCCCTCTCCTTCTGGATGCCCGTCTCCAGGGTCCCCAGCTTCTCCTGCAGCTGCTCCACCGCCTTCTGCTCCTTCTGCAGCAGCGTCCGCTCGGCCTCCCTCTCGCCCTGCAGCAGGGCCCGCTCCATCTCGGCCTGGGGGCAATGGGGGCAGACATCAGGGCGAGCTGCGGGGCTCCAGAGAGAGGGGCCCGGCTCCCCCCTGGGGCTCTGGGTCACCCCTTGGCCTCAGCTCATGTCCTGGGCTGTAGATCCCTCGAGCCCCAGCTCGCCTCTCGGGTCCCAGCTCACCTCTCGGGCCGACTCCTGCAGCTGCTGTTCCAGCTCCTTCACACGCACCTTCAGCTGCTCCACCCGCGCCAGAGCCTGGGCCCGCTCTTCCTCCAGGGCCAGCACCTCGCCCTGGAGCTTGGTGCTGGGGGTGTCCTCATGCTGGAGGCCAGAGAAGGCACCGGACTGAGAAGGGGGGATTCCCATCCCTCGAGGCCCTTGGGGAGGGAGGGCAGCCGGACTGGGACGGGGGCAAACCCCGCTGTCTGCAAGGGCAGCGACTGGGGCTCGGCCGCGGGCAGGGCGCTGGCCTTTGCCTGCGACTGAGCCCAGGGCACTGTGCCCCCCGCTCCCCAGCCCGACCCCGCCAGGAGCAAGCACGGCCAGGTGCAGCCCTAGAGACCAGAAAAGGAAAATCAGGGGCTGGAGCAATAGCACAGCGGGTAGGGCATTTGCCTTGCACGCAGCCAACCTAAGTTCGATTCCCAGCATCCCATATGGCCCCCCAGAGCACCACCAAGAGTAATTCCTGAGTGCAGAGCCAGGAGTAACCCCTGCGTATTGCTGGGTGTGACCCAAAAAAAAGAAAAGGAAAATCATGCAGGAAGAGGGATTTGTGCTGAGGGCCTGGCCGGGTGGGGCTCCCAGGAAGGCAGGTCGTAAAGCGAATTTACAGCCTGGAGCTCCAGCACACCTTTGCTTCCTGCTCATCTCACCTGCACTCCCTCACCCGGGTCTGTTCCCCACCGGGACCCTTCCATGGTTCCAATCCTCAATTCTCGCAGGGACCCAGCCCGCGGACCCTCCCCCCTGCTCCCATCCTTGCCCTGGCCCTCCCTCTGCCCCGTCCCCCTCACCCTGCTCCACCCCCTCACCGCTGCTCTGACCCTTCCCACCTCTGTCCCACGCCCCCACCCCTACCCCACACCCCACCCGGTTCAGGCCCTCCTCACCCTGCCCCGACCCTCTCCACTCCTGCCCAGCACACCTCAACCCGGCCCCACTCCTCACTTGGTCCCAGCCCTCCTCGCCCCTGCCCTGCCCTGGCCACCCCACCCCTGCCCCGGCCACCCCACCCCTGCCCAGCTCACCTCCTGCTGGGTGCTCTCCGTGCTACTGCTCTCCTCCTTCAGGTTCTCCTCATCAGAACGCTCCAGACTCTCCCACAGGCGCGCCGTGGCCCCTCCAGGCTCCTCGCCACTCCGTCCAGAGCCCCCTCGGGCCCCGGTCAGGCCCCGGGAGGGCCTCCGCCCTGCCAGCGCCAATGCGGCGGTGGCCTCCCCAATGCTGGGCAGCTCCCCGGCCTCCGGGCCCCCGTCAGCCCGGCTGTACTCGGCACACAGGTTGAGGATGGTCTCCAGGCGCTGGCGTTCCTGGGAGCGTGGACAGAGCAGGGTGTGAGGGGGAGGCCCCCAGGCCCACGGCGGCAGAGAAAGCCAGCAGTCCAGAGGCCCGGGGACGGTGAAGCCCGGTAGGAGGGCCCGAGCCCATGGTCTGAGGATGCCCAGACAGGGGCAGGAGGAGGTTGCCCGGCCACCTGCCCACGTGGCCCAGCCCGCCCCGTCTTCCTGCTTCCCTTCCCTTCTCCTTCTCTCCCACAGCCGGCTTCCTTGTGGACACACCCAGCCCCTGAGCACTGACTCTCAGGGGTTGCCAGGACTCAGAGCAGACAGACCTAGTGACCTAGGGCACCCCGAAACCCCCAGCCCGGCCCCGACACGCGAGCAGGCAGCCCAAGCCCGTTCGGCCGTTACAGACGGCTCCTGGCAGATGCCCGCCCCAGCACGAATCCGGCACACAGCACTCGTTCACCCGGATAAACACTGCCTACGGCGCAGACGGGCGGACGGCCACAGACTGGGCTGGGAAACACCCCACAGGCCCGCAGGGGTGCACCTGGTTGGGCCAACCTGGGCACAGTCCTCAGACCCCCTTAGTTCCAAATCACCCTGAGGTTAGCCCCTGGCTCCCTCCCAGGTCCCAAGACAGCCCCCCCACCCCCCCAGGTATAGCCCTCAGGCACCAGATGAAGGGCAGGGTGCAGCCACGCCCCCCAGCCAGGCCCCCTCTCCCATTCTTACTACCTCAGCTGGGAATCTCCTGGGGCTCCCCCAGGCCCAGGGGGACGTGGCCTCAAGGCTCTCTCTTTCTGCCCCCCACGAACTCACCCCAAACTCACCCAACTTCCCTCCTGCTCCTCGCCTAGTTCCATAGCAGAAAGAAAACCAGGAAAAGCACCCCGGGGCCTCCGCCCCTGCCCCAGGACCCAGATAAGCAGCCTGGCAGCAGTGGGCGGGGCCGGGCAGGCAGCCTCTGATTTAAAGTGGCAGGTGGGGCAGGTCAGGGCGGGCAGAGGGGTGTGCTCGCGCCAGGTAGGCTGGGGAGGGCGGCCCGGCTGATCAGCCCTTTCCCAGCTCGGCGCGGGCCCAGCCTTCGCACCCAGGCCACAGCCAAAACAAAGGAGACTGGGCCCGAGGGATCGGGCAGCGGGGAAACCTGGCACGCAGCAGACCCGGGTTCCGTTCCCCCAGCACCGTAGGGGACAGTGCAGCACCTTGTCTATAAATATCCATTTACATCCCCCTGAGCCCCGCCAGGAGGGATCCCTGAGCACGTCTGTTGCAGGAACTGGTGCAAAATCGAACAAATAAACAGAGAAGGGAAGAAGGAGCAGAGGGGAGGAAGACATGGCAGATGAGAGATACCGGAAGGGTAAAGGCACTGGCCCAAGCCCAGCACAGAGCCAGGACCGGCCTGAGCAGGGGTGTGACTCCGAAAGAAAGGAAACAGGCTCCTGCCTCCTCTCCTGCTCCCCCACACACCAGCCTAATTCTCTCCCTCACCCGACAGGGCCCAGCCGCTGGGGGTTGTGCTCAGACAGTCCGACCCCAGGCGCGGGTCCCAGGAGGGAGCAGAATCCACATGCATGTCCTCAGCCACCCGGGCCCCGCGCTCCCTGCGCTCCCTGGGGAATCCCGCCCCCCAGCTGGCTCAGATGCCACCTGGGAACAGCTGCGCACACACCCACTCGGGGTGGCCCGCCCGCCCCCGTTCCCCTCCACTTTCCTGGAAGATCCGGCCTGCAGCCAGCCGGGCAGCGCCCACCCAGGAAGGAGGCCAAGGCGCTTTTCTCCATCCCAGTCCCCGACACAGTTGGAAAGAGACCCGAGCTCTCTTGAGGCTCTTGAGACCTTGCTGTGGGACCTTGGGCAAATGCACACCCCTCTCTGGGCCTTGACCTTCTCGTCACTAAGACCTGCTGCTCAGGACTTCTAAGGGCTGGAGCACATGATCTGTCTGCATGCAGGAGCCCTGGGTGCCATGTCATCCCATGTCAGAGTACTGACAGGTGTGCTTCCTCAAAGAAAAAAATATATATATCCTTAGAATCCCAGCCCCTGGCACCCCATGTGGTCCTCCAAGCTCCGCAGCAGTGATCCCTGTGCCCCCCCAAACCAAATTTTTTGCTTTTTGGGTCACAACCGGCGATGCTCAGGGGTTACTCCTGGTGGTGCTCGGGGCACCATATGGCATGCTGGGGATGGAACCCAGGTCAGCTGCGTGCAAGGCAAACACCTTACCTCCTGTACTATACGTTCCGGCACCCCAAAGAAGAGTTTTACACATATAATACAGGGCACTTGTCCCATTTGAGCACTGCCAGGAGTAATTCCTGAGTGCAGAGCCAGGAGTAACCTGCAGCATTGCTGGGTGTGGTCCGAACCCCAACCCCCGCAAATGTATTATATATATATGTATTTGAAGGTGGGGATTTGGGCCATGCCCAGCAATGCTCAGGGGCTATTCCTGACTCTGTGCTCAAGAATGTTCCCTGAAGGTGCTCCTGGGACCATATGTGTTACCAAGGATTCAATCTGGAGTCAGCCCCATGCAAGACACCCCTCCAGTCTCTCTTTTCCTGGCCCCAAAACTTTATATAGCAAAGACTCTGCTATGGAACAAATACAAATTAGTGTGACTTTAAAAATGTTACTGGGCCCCCTCAAACAAATCGATGAACAATGGGAGGACAGTAACAGTGACAGTGACTTTAAAATGAGGTGGGGGGGGCTGGAGCGATAGCACAGCGGGTAGGGTGTTTGCCTTACACACAGCCGACCCGGGTTCGATTCCCAGCATCCCATATGGTCCCCCAAGCACCGCCAGGAGTAATGCCTGAGTCCATGAGCCAGGAGTAACCCCTGTACATAGCTGGGTATGACCCAAAAAGCCAAAAAAAAAAAAAAAGCATGAAGTCTTTCTGGTCTCAGATGTTTTTTTGTTAGTTTGTTCCTTGGCGGGAGGGGAGTCACACTCAGTGGTATCCAGGCTTACTTCTGGCTCTGTATTCAGGGATCACTTCTGGTGGATCTCAGGCATGCTGGGGTTGCCGGGATGGAACCCAGGCTGGCTGCATGCAAGGCAAAGCACTGTACTTACTGCATTATCTCTAGTCACTGAGTGTTTCATTTGAGTTTAAAAGTTGACCCTATGGGCTGGAACAGTAGCACAGCGGGTAGGGCGTTTGGTTTGCCTTGCACTCGGGCCAACCCGGGTTCAACTGCCAGCATCCCCGATGGTCCCCCGAGCACCGCCAGGGATAATTTCTGAGTGCAGAGCCAGGAGTAACCCCTGTGCATCGCCGGGTGTGACTCAAAAAGAAAAAAATAAAAATTGAAAAACAGGGGCTGGAGAGATAGCACAGCGGGTAGGGCATTTGCCTTGCACACGGCCAACCCGGGTTTGATTCCCAGCATCCCATATGGTCCCCCGAGCACCGCCAGGAGTAATTCCTGAGAGCATGAGCCAGGAATAACCCCTGAGCATTGCTGGGTGTGACCCAAAAGCAAAACAAAACAAAACTGAACAAAAAAACCAGAATAAGGTCAAAGCAATAGCACCAAGGATAAAGTGCTTGCCTTGCATGCGGAGAGCCTGGGTGTGACCCCTGGCCGCCCATGTGGTCCTCCAAGCTCCCCAGCAGTGATCCCTGTGCCCCCCCAAACCAAAACAAATAAAGAAATAGGATAAAATAAGGCCTTAGAGACTTTGAGGATATCTGTTTGGAACCTTGAGCTACTGGTCACTATGCGGAAAGGGGGCATTGTCCGAGGTGCCCCCGTGCACTGGCCTGCCTGTGCCGGCGTGCCGGCCCCCCACTCACCAGCCGCTCCATCTCCTGCTCGCGCAGCCGCTCCTGGCGCTGGCGCCGGTGGTACTCCAGCAGCTCGTCCTCGTTGTCGCTGATCTCCGTGATGCTGTTCTTGCGCTCCCGGCCCACGGGCACCCGCAGGTCCCCCGTGGAGAGCTTCCTCTGCACACGGGGGCTCTGGCGGGGCGAGGGTCCCGTGAGGGAGCCCAGGCTGTAGGCGGGGCTCAGTCTGCCGCTGAGGCTGCCCTTGCGGGGCGCCAGGGTCTCCCCCAAGGTGGGCGAGGGGCTCCGTGTCCTGCGGCCCCGGGCACTCGATGTCAGGGAAAAGTCCTCTGGGGTGGCCCCGTGGGCGGCCCAGCGCCGGGGCCGGGGGCTCTCGGCCACGTCCCTGCTCAGTTTGGTTTCCGAGGGGCTCCGGGCAGACATGGGGGACAGAGCCCGGCGGGACAGAGACGGGCTCAAGGGAGGGAGCTCCCGCATGCTGTCCACCCCGCGCCGACTGAGGCGGGGGCTCTCAGGGGGCGGCAGGGCCCGGGCGGCTGAGCCCTCCGAATAGGTTCTGCCCACCAGCTGGCGCGCTGGGCTAGCTGGCAGCACCCGCTCGGCACCGGGCAGCTCATGGAAAGGGCTGGGAGGCCGGTCCTGGAGGGCGATCATCTTGCTCCGGGGGGCCGGGACTGGAGGCTGGATCTTGGGGCTCCCAGGAGTGCTGGTGGGCTGGCCCCGAGCACCGGATGCAGGGTATTCACTCAGGCTGATGGCCACCACGGGCAGCTGCCCACCCAGCCGGGGACTCTCCGTGGCTCTGCGGGCCTCTGCCAACACCGTGGCTGCCGGACTGTCTGTCAGCAGGCCCCGGAGGCCGGGGCTGGGGGGTCTGTCAAGACCCCCTTTCCTGCCCAGCCGGGGGCTCTCGGAGGGGCGGGCCCCACTCGGTCGAGTCTGCGGGGGTTGCAGGGCCAGATGGTAGCTGGAGGAGCGGGCCGGCACCAGCGGCGGCACGGAAGGGGCTGGCTCCTGCCCACTGGGGGAGTGACTGGCACAGCTCCCGCTGCTGGCTGGCGAGGAGAGTGGAGAAAAGGCTGGCGAGGTGTTCTCGTAGCTGGAGCCCATGGACATCGCCCCAGGGCTGGTGGGGGGAGACAGCAGGTAGCGCCCCCCGTTGGCCATCGGGGACAGGGGCGATGTGGCCACAGGCTTCGTGGGGGCCGCCGTGGGCTCCCCCAGCACCAGCGAGTCCATGATGTCCTGGAGATCCTTCTCGATGGAGCTCACCAGGGAGCTGTGGCTGACACAGGTGGCCGCACCCCGGGGTGCGGGCGGCGGGGCGTGGTTCCCGTTCATCAGGCCTTCCGGCTCGGCTGCTGAGAGAAGCAGTGGCCTGAGGGGGGCTGCACAGGCCGGAGAGGACGCACCCCACCTCCTGCAGGCCAAGGCACTGCAGAAGCAGCCGGCAAAGCAGGGTTCCGGCGGCCACTCTGCCCGTGTGCTTTGTGGCCCGGTCCCAAAACACTGGCCTGCAGTTTCCCCTTCTGCTCATCCCTGGTAGCCATGCCAGCTGGACCTGGTCATGGCCGCCTCACCCCCAGACTTGCTCCCTCCCTGCCTTGGTTTCTCCACCTCCTCTGCAGCTGCTCTGGGAAGGGCAGTATGGAACTAGCCGGAAGCACATTTTTCTCCCATTTTCATAGGCAAATAATCCTGACTCACGGCCAGGACACAGGAACAAAGATGCCCGGGTCCCTGCTCCATTGCACGGGAGGGTCTGGTTTGGGGGCCCATTTCTGGAAGCCAGGCAGCCTGCAGCGGTGAAATAAATGCTGCTCTGGTCTTCCAGAAAATTCATTAGGCCAATCCAGCATGCTCACCTCTGCCCTGCTTCAGCCACCCACCCAGCAGAATCCTTAGAATCCCAGCCCAAAGGGTGGAGGGAACACAGGACATAGCACAGGGGTTGAAGGGGGGGCCTGGAATCCAGCTCCAGAGCCCCCAGGAGTTGGGAAGAAAAACATTCGCTGGACCATCTGGGCCACACCAGCAGCGATTCTCAGAGACACGGGAGCTGCTGTGAACGTGGGGGCCGCCAGGACCACCCGCCTGAGTTTCCCTGACCACCCTCCAGCCCAAGCACCTGACACACAAAGTACCTGTCCCGGGAATCACGTGACACCTGTTGTCACACAGACACCTGAACCCGTGCAAGGCAGGGGCAGTGGTGGGGGGTGGGATGGGGAGGGGAGGCAGGCATTTACCCGGGCAGCTGGGACAAGCACCCACCCTCCTCGGGACTCAGTACTTGACACTGAGTTCCAGCTGCTGCCCGGAGGATGGCCTGGTGGGGGCTGGGGGCGGGGCCCAAGGACAGCGCCACACAGAGAGGGCCCCCACAGTTCACGAGAGTCCTCCTTAGGGTCCCAGACACAGAGGGTGGCCTTTCAGGGCAGTGGGACCGAGAGTGTCGCCGGGGCACTGGGCACAGGACAGCGCAGTTGAAGCCGGTAGCTGGACGTTTGCCCAGGCTGCCTGGGTATCCCCGTTGGTGGCCCACGGCAGGTGGTACCACACCCAGATCACAGGCATCATCCTGTTCAGGCACTAGGTATGGCTGAAGCCAGCCCCCAGGCCACCCCTGAGACCCAGCTCAGTACCTACCAGGGCCAGAGCCGTAGGGGGGCCCAGGGGCCCGGCCCCCAGCCGGGATCATGCTCTTCATCCACTTGGCTTCGGCGGGGTGGTTAAAGCGGAGGAAGGTGGACTGGCCCAGGCACAGCATGCAGCCTGCGGGGACAGCAAACGCTCAGGGGCCACCCAGGAACAGCCCCCACACCGCCCTCACTGTGGCCCCTCGGCACCCCTCCCCGTGGGGCCAAGGGAAGATGCAGGGAGAGGAAGCTGAGGGTCACAGTACTGAGCCTGAACTCCACCCCTTCCTACTAGCTGAAGTCACACAGAGGGTCTGCATCTGGTTCTCTGGCTGGGAAACAGGGGTGTGCCCTCCCTGCCCCCCGCAGAGTAAGCCCCACCTGTAAGGGTAGAAGGTCAGAGAACATCAGACTCTGTGACCACCAGCCCCAAACTAAAGCCCCCATGAGCCACTGTCTGTCCCTTGGATGAATTCTGCAGGGGTTCCACAGAAGCTTGGGGAACGGGGTGGAATGAGGAGTTCAAAACTCTTGCTCAGGGATCCAAAGGGATAGTTCAGGGGGGAGGGCGCTGGGCTTGCAGGCAGTCGACCCAGGTTCAATCCCCGGTGGCATCCCATGCAGTTCCCAGAACCTGCCAGGAGTGAGCCCAGAGTGCAGTCAACCAACCCTGGCACTGCTGGGTATGACTCCAAAGCAAAAACAAAAATTCCTGTTTGAAACCTGTTTTCTGTTCCTAAGGCCCCGTCACCACATGGCCCGAGGAGAGACGGTGGCCACCTCTCAGAGGGATGGACAGCCAGACAGACAGGAAGTACTGGCCCCCACCCTGCTTCTCTCCAACCAAGCACCCTCTCTGGCCTGCTGTGCTCCTCCTGCTCCTTGGTCGCCCCTGGAATGGGGCCGGGCCCAGGCCACTGCGCCCAGACTCAGCCCAAGCACATTCCCGGGCAGCAGACACAAGCCCAGTCCTGTCCAGAAACTGTGACGGCTGGGAGGGCGGGGGAGAGCATCTGGGAAGCAGAATGCGTAGCCAGGGGCACCGGGGGCTGGGGAGGCAGGTGTGCCCACAGGCGCTGAGCCTCCTCGGAGCTCCGCCTCCTGCCACACCAGGTGCTCCAGGCTGCCAGCAGAGGATGTTATTTTGGAAGCAGCCCCGCCCGGGCTTTCCCTACCACCCACCCTTCACACACACACACACACACACACACACACACACACACACACACACACACACACACCCCCCGCCCCTGGCTCCTTTCCACTCAACCGGGTGCCCCTCAGTGCCCCAGCTAAGATGGCAGGGAAGTTCACATTCCTGGACGCTGAGACAGTTCAACTCAGGAGGGCGGCAAGATAGAGGGGCACCCCACCTGGGAAGCCCCCAACCCACCCCCCACACACACACCAGACACCTGTAGCTGTGGTGGGCAAGCCAAGAAGCCCACGGATCATCCCCATAGTGGACAAAGGCCACCCACTTCTTTGACATGCCCGGCCCCTCCCAGGCAGGAGGGCACCAAGAATCTAATGGCTGACGGGTGGGTAGAAGACAGGGAGTTTCCCCTGGGCCCAGCTACCAATCGGAGCCATGGAACCAGAGTAAGCATAACCAGAATAATAATAGCCAAGCCCACGTACCCCTAATTACAACCCCAGCTGTTCCAGAGAGCGCCCTCCCAGGCCCCGCCCCTCCCTGCAGCCAGTGAACCAGCTAATTAATGATGAGTTTGCAGGGTCCACAGACCCCTCTGCACCCCACGGGGAGAGGGAGGGGGGCAGGAGCCGGGCGGGGACAGGAGCCTGACCACACAGTCCAGACTGGGAAAAGGGTGGGAGTCTGGGCGGACCCGGCCCTTGGGACCAGCCCACCCAAGCAGGGGGCCTCAGGCCTAGCTCCCCCGGCCTGCCCTGCCCCCTCCCGCCTCACCTCCACGTAGGGGGTGTGGTCGGGGTGTGGCCAGGCTGCCTGCGGCTATAAATAGTGATGCCCCGGAGCAGAGCCTGGTCTGTATTAATAGACCAGGCCTGAGGGCAGGCGGACCAGAGAGCCCAGCTCCCGGCCAAATTAACTTTCTATTTGCACTCAGGGGCACAGGCCTTGGCCCCCTCCAGCCTTTCCTCCCCCCCACCAGCAAGAACCCTCCTCTCTGACCCCTTCTGCCCCCCACCTCCCAGGGAAGCCCCCAAACCTCCTTGGGCAAAGTTGTGCCCCCTACAACCTCAACGTCCCTCCAGGGACTCAGGGCCGTCCGCGCTGGGCAGAGGGGAGGGCGGATCTGGGCTGAGGGGAGCAGAGGGGAACCCCACACTCACACGCACACTTACACTCACAAAGGGACACACAGCGCCCCGTGCCCAAGCCGGCCCTGACTGCTGGCCCCCCAGGAACAGACGGACGCAGGCTGGGCAGAGGGGCAAGGCCCTGAGGTCCGGTCGGCTCCCCACCCGGGGACTGCTCTGCCCCGCGTGGTGGCAGGTCTCCTGGAAAGGTCCCCTGGAAAGAGGCACCCTCCAGATGAGAGCCCCCCTGCCCACACCTCCCACTGGGAAACGCCCGGACAGCGAGTCCTCCAGCCCCAGCTCCGGGAGGGCGGGCGGGCAGGCAGGACCCCGCGGTCCCCCAGACCCGTCCCCCTCCCACAGCCTGCCCCTGCCTCCAGCGGCCGGCTGGGGGCTGAGAACTCACCGCCCGCCGGGACCTCGGGACGTCCGTCCTGCTGGCCCCCCGCTAGCCCCGGCCCGCCGGGTCCTTTGAGGGGGCGGCTCCGGCTCCAGCAGCAGCAGCAGCCGCGGCGGCCGCCGCCAGTGCCCGGGAGGGCGGGCGTCCAGGCGGGGGAAGGGAGCAGGAGGGAGGGACAAAGGAGCGGAGGAGGGAAGAGGAAGTGATGGAGGAGCGCGGGCGGGCGGGCGGGAGGATGCGGGAGCGCGGGGACCGCGGGGACCCCACCCCCGGGAGCGGGCGGTGGGAAAGGCCAGCGGTGAAGTCCGCGGGGCAGCGCCGCAGGCCACGTGGGGCAGCGGGGTTCCCCGGGAGCGCTCGCGGCCAGCAGAGTCCAGCCCCCCCCCTACACCGCCTGGGGCTGGCTGGTCAGCTGGGGCCAGTCACACCCTCTGGCCCTGGGAGTCTTTATCTAGGAGACTGGCCTCAATGACAACAGGAGGTTAAGCACTGACATTCTAGCTCAGGCCTCGAGACAAGGTGACCCCCCCACCCCACCCTGCTGGGAGTTCAGGCCAAGCCCGGGCTCTGGGCAGTGTGAGGGACGCTGACCTCCTGGCTCCGCCCCCCCACCCCTGGAGTTTGCCCCACCCCATGACCCAGGCTGGACACCAGCAAATGACGCCTTGCCCAGGTCCCTGGGGCTCCTGCAGGCTGCCAGGCTGAACCAGCCAAGAACCTATAACCTAATCTGAGATCCAGATTGTCCCCTGGGGTCCAGTGGCCCAGAGGCACACTCTGCTCCCTCTGCTCCCCAGCTCTGCTCAGAGCTCACCCCCTGCCCTCTCCCCAGGCGGGTCACCCTGAATCCCACAGACTCCAGTTAGACACGTTCTCCCATGTGCATTCCCTCCAGACAGCCCCCCAGACAGGCGCCAAACTCTCTGGGGGACAGTCACTCAGACGGAGACCCTGAAGAGACAGCCAGAAGTCAGGAGGGTGGGGGGAGGAAGATCCGGATTAGGGGACATGGGGGGAGTGGGGGAGGATCGCGGGTGCTAGCGGTGGTGGACTGAGAACTGTGCACATCAATATCATAAATTTCTATATAATTATATATATTCTCTATATAATTTTGTTTGGTCAAATGGTGGTGCTCAGGGCTTACTCCTGGCAGTGCTCAGGAGACCAGAGGCAGTACTGGGATGCCCACAGGGGTTGTATGCCAGCAAGCGGGCACTAGCCCTTCTCTACTGCCCCTTGGACTCTCTCTTCCACCCAATACCACATGTTTAACACCATTGGGCCAGAATGCCCTATAGTAACCCAGGGGTTTAAAAACAGGGATGAGGGGCCGGAGCGATAGTACAGTGGGGAGGGCGTCTGCCTCGCACACGGATCACCTGGGTTCGATCCCCGGCATCCCATAGGGTCCCCTGAACACTGCCAAAAGTAATACTTGAGTGTAGAGCCAGGAGTAGTCCCTGAGCATTGCCAAGTGTGACCCAAAAAGCTAATAATAATAATAATAATAAGGTAAAGGTAAAGGCCCTCCCGTTGATCGTCGATTTTGCTCGAGCAGGCCCAGTAACGTCTCCATTAGAGACTTTGTTGTTACTGTGTTTGGCGTATTGAATACTCTCAGTAGCTTGCCGGGCTCTCCGAGAGGGGCGGAGGAATCGAACTTGGGTCGGCCATGTTGGCCGCTTGTAAGGCGAATGCCCTACCGCTGTGCTAAGACTTGCACAGCCTTAATAATAATAATAACAAAATTTAAAAAAAATAAAAACAGGGATGAAACATGGGGTTAGGGGGCTGGAGAGATAGTACAAGATGCTTCTCTTGTGCCTGGGGTAGCCGGAGTGATATGATAGTTCAACAGGTAGGGCATTTGCCTTGCCAATCCAGGTTCAATCCCTGGCACCCGGTATGGTCCCCAGAGCACTGCCAGAAGTAATTCCTGAATACAGAGCCAGGAAATCAGAGATCAGACGAGATCGGGCGCATTCAGGGTGGTATGGCCGTAGACCTGTATGGCCGGCCCGAGTTTGATTCCTCCGCCCCTCTCGGAGAGCCCGGCAAGCTACCGAGAGTATCTCGCCCACACGGCAGAGCCTGGCAAGCTCCCCGTGACGTATTCGATATGCCAGACACAGTAACAACAAAAGTCTCCAATGGAGACGTTACTGGGCCCGCTCGAGCAAATCGATGAACAACGGGAAGACAGTGACAGTGACAGAGCCAGGAATAACTCTTGAGCATCGTGGGTGTGGCCCCAAAACAGACAAACAAGACTGATGTGGGTTGGACTCCCAGTACCCCATACGGTCCCCTGAGTACCACCAGGAGTGATCCCTGAGCACAGAGCCAGGAGTACATCCTGAGCACAGCCAGGTGTAGCCTCCAAAAAAAAACCCCTACAGGGTTGGAGCCAGAGAGGAACATAGTGCAGTGGGGGACGCACTTTCCTTGCATATGCCCAACCTGGGTTCAATTCCTGGCTCCACATAGGATCCCCTGACCCCTGAGCACAGAGCCAGGAGTAAGTCCTGAGCACAGCTGGGTGTATAAAAAAAATGGAGTACACCCCTGAGCACTGATGAGTGTGGCATAAATGCAAAAATAAGCACAGGCTCTGGGCTGGGGCAATAGTACAGCAGATAGGGTATTTGCCTTGCATGTAGCCAACCCAGGTTTGATTCTCAGCACCCCCTAAGATTCCCCCAAGGCCACCAGGAGTGATCCCTCAGCATAAAGCTAGGAGTAAGCCCTGAACCCCACTGAGTGTGACCCCCTAACAGACAAAACTCAGGGTTAAAGGCACTTGCCAAGAATGATCCCTGAGCTCCTCTGGGTGTGACCCCCAAACCAAAATAAATAAATAATACCACTGCAACCTTGCAACCATGAATCTATGATTTAAAAAAAAATACACACACACACAAAACATAGGAGGCTGCTCTTGCCTGGCACACAGCCGACCTGCGTTTGATCCTGCAACACCACATATGGTCCCTGGGCCCACTGGGAGCAATCACTGAGCCTGAGTCAGGAGTAAACCCTGAGTACGGTTGAGTGTGTTCCCTAAATACTGTAGTACTATAGCACTGTCCTCCCGCTGTTCATTGATTTCCTCGAGCAGGCACCAGTAACGTCTCCAATGTGAGACTTGTTGCTACTGTTTTTGGCATATCGAATACGCCAGGGGGAGTTTGTCAGGCTCTGTCGTGCGGGCGGGATACTCTTGGTAGCTTGCCAGGCCCTCCGAGAGGGACGGATTGAACCTGGATCAGCCGAGTGCAAGGCAAACCCGCTGTGCTATCGCTCCAGCCCAGTTATCAATCCAGCCCTAAACAAACAAACAAAAAGAGTTGGAGCCAGAGACACGGTCCAGTGGGCAGGGGACTTGCATGACAAGCAATTAAGATGAGACCCTTCCCTGGCACCACATAGGGCCCCCCCCCCCGCACTGAGTCAGAGGTGGTCCCTGAGCACAGAGCTAGGAATAAGCGCTGAACATGGCCCATAAACACAACCCCACAAAAGTTAACCTCCTTAGAGAATGAACCGGATGATTTTCTTTCTTTGCCACTCACCAACTTACACTGCTGAAACTACACATACACCCTCTCTCATATGCACATGTAGAAATGCAAAGAATTCCCCTTCTAAAGGAAAAATGAAGGGGCCGGAGCGGTAGCACAGTGGAGAGGGTGTTTGCCTTGCACGCAGCCAACCTGGGCTCAATCCCCGGCATCCCATATGGTCCCCTGAGCACCGCCAGGAGTCATTCCTGAGTGTAGAGCCAGGAGTAACCCCTGAGCATCGCTGAGTGTGATCCAAAAAGGAAAAAATGAAGAACCATATAGGGCCAAATGCACAATACAGGAGGCTTACAAAAAAAAAAAATCCAGAATATCCGGAAGCGTGATTCAGAGGTCTGGAGAGTGTGCCCGCCAGCTGGACAGTCCCAGCAGAGCTGCCTGTCAGTGAGCAGCAGGGCAGGGGAGGGAGGCACAGAGAGGTGGGAGGGGCTTTTCCTCTTTCCCTTGTGGGTCTTTGCACTTTATTGATTTATTTACTTATTTGTTTAGGTTTTGGGCCATACCTGATGGTGCCCAGGGCTGACTCCTGGCTCTCTGCTCAGGGTTGACTCCTGGCTTTGTGCTCAGGGCTGATTCCTGGTGGGGTTCAGGGGACCCTAGGGGATGCTGGGAATTGAACCCGGGTCAGCCCCATTCAAGGTAAACGCCCTCCCCGCTCGCTGTACTATGGCTCTGGTCCCCTCTGTCAGTCTTATCACTGAGGCTGCCGGGAGCCTTGGCTCCATTTTACAGAAGGAGTCACAGAAGTGGCCGGAAGAGAGCGGCAGGCCGCTGGCACCAGTCAGAGCTCAGGCAGCAGTGAGGCTGGGGACCCGCTGTCTAGACTGTCCGGGCCCTGAGCTGGGCGGCTTTCTGGGTTGTCCTCGCTTCAGTCCTCTCCAGGCCTTTCATGTGGTCTGGCACGGTGGCCCGGGGTGGGCAGCAGCCCCAGTGAGGTCCCGCCTCGCTTCCTGCTCCTCCTCCCAGCTCCAGAAGCTGCCCGGAGACCAGCCTGGAGGGGTCAGCCTCGATCTTCCCAGCTCCCTCACTTGACACTCCCAGGTCCGCCGGCCGAGCTGAAAGTTGGCATTTGCTCTGTGCCCGATGCCCCTTGGCCTGGGCCAGGCACCATCCTCCTCCTCGAGTCTGGCACTGCCAGCCCTTCTCAGTGTGACGCGGGCCCCCTGGCAGAGCGCCCAGCATGACCCGGCCGGAGCAGGCGCCTGATATTTCTAGGGGAGCCCTCTGCTTTCCAAAGAGGAGGGTCCCCCTAACAGGGGATCATGGGGTGAGGAGGGGGTACCAGGCCGGGGAACTGATCTTTTTGACACCACCTGCCCCACGTACTGACGTGGACACTCGGGTCCCACCCGTCCCGAGTTTACCTCTGTCCCTCACTCGAACACGCTGGCCCATAAACACGAAAAAAATTCACATCCGGAGATGCATAAACATACAGCAGCTCCACAGACACCGGGAGGCCGCCCGCGCACCCCTGAGCCACCCCGTTGCCAGGGAGACACACTCCCAAGAATGTCCGGAGTGGGGCCGGGCGGGGCTGGGCTCGGTGCCTCGCGCCCGAGATGAGGCAAGGAAACCCTCAATGCCTTGAGCCCGGGGCCGGGGGCCGGGAAGAACACCCGCTCCATTGTGCCCAGCCTGCCCTCCCCAAGCAAGCCCAGACAAGAGGGCTTGGGGGTGGCCAGCAGGAGGGGTCTGAGGGTCCGCAGAGAGTGGGAGGATACATATTTTGCAGGGCGGGGGGAGTTTGGGCTGGGTCACTGGGGCCACAGGAAATGCCTAAGAATTCTCTCTTGGCCCCAGGCCTCCGGGAGCACTGAGGATGCTTGCGCCGGCCAGGCTGCCTGCTCTCACCCAGGGAGAGGCTTCCTGGGGGGATGGGGGTGTGTGCCAAGCCCTGGGGTCTTCTCTAGGCTCTGCCCCTCGCTCTCCTTGCCGCTGAGCGCTCTCACTTCTGTGCCCCCGGACCCTGGGAGGGAGGCAGTCAGGAACCAGCAGCTCAGAGCCCCAGCCAGGGAGGAGCTTGTCTCCTCCTCCCAGCTGGAGACAGTCGCCCCGGAGCCAGCCAAGTGCAGCCTGCAGACTCCCACCCTCCCGGGGCCCAAGAGAAAGGAGCATCAGGTCTCCTGGGAAGCAGAGAGGGGCGATCGGGACAGAGAGAGGGTGGTTCCGCCAGGAGCAGGGAGGGTTCCCAGAACACAGTACCAGCCCCTCAGTCCTGCACAGTCCAGACCAAGCTCCCACCCTGCCAAGCTCACCTCACCCCCACCCCCCGACACTCATGTCTGCCCTTCTCCTTCTCCCAGACGCAACTGTCCTCCCATTCTTCATTGATTTGCTCGAGTGGGCACCAGTAACGTTTCCATTGTGAGACTTGTTGTTACTGTTTTTGGCACATCGAATACGCCACGGGGAGCTTGCCAGGCTCTGCCGTGAGGGCGGGGTACTCTCGGTAGCTTGTCGGGTTCTCCGAGAGGGACGGAGGAATCGAACCCGGGTCGGCCACGTGCAAGGCAAACGCCCTACCCGCTGTGCCATCGCTCCAGCCCACAACTGATGGTATAGACTGTCAAACTCAGTTCTGAGGCAAACACACCTGGCCCGAGCCACTAGACCACCCCCGGGCTGTGCTCACCGAGGTACCGAGAGGCACGAGATTGAGAACCTCCCCTGCTTGCTGCTTTGAAATAAAGGTGGTGGCCACATGTAAGACCCCCAAAGCCACTGTCAGTGGATGGGGGCTGGAGTGGGCAGACCCTCGGCTTCAGGGGGCTGAGAGCTGCTGTCCTCCCCGGCGCCACACAGCCTTCGGGGCAACTCCCAGATGAGAGGTGTGTGTGGGGCGGGGTTGGCCACACCCAGCGGGGTGCTCAGGGCTGACTTCTGGCTCTGTGCTCAGGGGTCACTCCTGGTGGGGCTTCGTAGGGGACCATAGACGGGTGTTGGGGATCAAACCCGATGGACCACATGCAAGGCAAGCACCCTTCCCGCTGTCCCGTCACTGCAGCTCAGAACAGCTCCCTCCATGCAGGAGGCTGCTTCTCTACCCTCCTCCCCAGGCACCCAAGCTTCTGGCCGTAGTGTTGGGGTCTTCCCAGGTGGATCAGATCCTGCCCTGTGGCACGGGCAGAAAGGAGGGGGCAAGTGGAGAAGCAGAGGGCCTGAGACACACCGGCGCAGGAAGGCGTGAGCATCCCAGCTCACCGATCCGGACATCCTGACGGTTCCCATGGCAACCACCACAGACAGTCTCCTGCACTTCTCCGCAGGGGTTCTGCCACCGAGACCCCCGGGGCTCTCAAAGCTTACCCTGCGTGAGCCGGGTGGGCTTCCGGACAGGGAGTCCATCAATCGTGCAGGCATTTCCGCAGGGGTAGAGGGTGAGGGTGCCCCGAAGGTTCTCGATATAGCAGTGCTCCGGAGCCAGGCCTGGGCCCTGCAGCGAGATGTCCCTGGCCGCAGACCCGATCACCGTCCTCCCTGCGGGCAGGGAGCGAAGTGGATGAGAGGGAGCTAGTCCAGGCCCAAGAGGCAGGGACAGGCAGAGAGGGTGGCCGGAACTAGATTTCAGCCTGCTATTCCAGGGAGACTCACTGCAGACCCCCCCAGGCCCCCCAGGAAGTATGAGAAGCTCACACAACTGGAGGCAAGCTCGGGGAACATGGAGGCAGAAGGGGAGTATCTCTGTGGATGTGCCCTACACCTCACCCAATGCCCCCTCTCAGGCCATGCTCCCTTCACCCCCCTCCCCTCCTTCCCTCAGGCCCCCCTCTCTCCACCCTGCCACCTGCAGACTTCCCCCAACACTCTCTCTCTCTCTCTCTCTCTCTGGGCAGCCTCCCCCCTCCCTCAGCAGGGAAGGGAATCCCCCCTGGCAGAGCCCCTGGGACTGGCATTCGGGGAATTCGGGGAATGGAGCATCGCCCAGGCAGCGAGGGCAGGGGGGAGTGGGGGAGGAGCTGCGGAGCCCAGGGCCTGTGCCAGGGCCTTGTTTTGGTAGATGGGCCCCCTCTTCCCTCTCTCCCTTCTCACCACCTGCAGCCTCCCCCCCTATACCCTCCCCCTGGCCTGGCACTGCCCTGGAGAGAGGCCCTGGCATCTAGGCTGCCGGTTGCTAGGAGCAATGAGCTCTCCTGTTTCAGTGCTCGGTGCGGCTCCTCTAAGCCGCTCTTTAATCCCAGTCATGAAGCCAGATTATCTCCCAAGCGGATGGACCCGCATCTGGGAGGCGGGACAGGGAAGCCAGCGGTGTGGAATGGTCTGAGGGGGTGTCCGTTTGAGAGGGGCAAACCTTGCCAGCAAAAGCTTCCCTTCTCCATCCCAGCCCCCTGCCTGGGCAGACCGGATGGCGGTCGGGGGAGCAGCAGGTGCGGTGCACCCGGGCACTTACCTTCCTCCAGGGGCAGGAGGGTGATGGCCGTGCTGAGCCGCCCACTGCCCAGGCTTACCAGGTGGGGCTTGTCTGTCTGTACCTTCAGCCCTTTCCCTGTCTCGATCAGGTCCAGGGGGCCCTTCTGCGTGGGGGGGGAGGGGGCGATGAGCATCATGAGAGGGTCCTGAGAGGCCTCTTCCCTAACCCCACTCTGTCCACCAGCCCTCGCCCCCCTGGAAGGGCTCCATAGTCTCAGCACGGAGCATTCTTCCACCAAACGAACGGAAGGTAACTCGACCCGAATGTAGGCCACACACGCGTCCCTCTGGATTTATCTCAAGTTCTGGCTTCACTGCCCCCTTTGTCTATTAAGACAGAGAGGAGGAGAGAGGAAGGGGAGCAGGCTGTGCTGGGCAGGAGGGGGCGGTCCAGGGGGGCGGCAATCAAGACCTCGCCCTGCAGGCCCAGGGTCAGAGCCCGGCATGGTCCCCGCCAGCACTGCTGGATGTGACCCCCCCAAAATGTAAACAAACTAAAGATCTATCCCTGGGGTTGGAGATAGTGTGGGGGGGAGGAGGAGGCACTTGCCTTGCAGGAGGGCAGCCAGCCCCCTCCCCTTAGATGCCAGACACCCCCCAACACTGATGAGAGTTGGGACCAGCAGGGGCCCACGCTCTCAAAAATCAAAAGACCAGGGCAGAGTGATAGCACAGCAGGTAGGGTGTTTGCATGCAGCCGACCTGGGTTCGATCCCCGGCATCCCATATGGTCTCCCGAGCACCGCCAGGAATAATTCCTGAGTGCAGAGCCAGGAATCCAGGAATAACCCCTGAGCATCGCTGGGTGTGACCCAAAAAGAAAAAAAAAAAAACAAATCAAAAGACCAGGTCGGAGCAATAGCACAGCAGGGGGGGGCGTTTGCCTTGCACGGGGCCAACCTGGGTTCGATCCCCAGCATCCCATATGGTCCCCCAAGCACCGCCAGGAGTAATTCCTGAGTGCAGAGCCAGGAATAACTCTTGAGCATCGCTGGGTGTGACCCCAAAAGAAAAAAAAATCAAAAGACCAGGCCAGAGTGATAGGGAAGGGTGTTTGTCTTGCATGTGGCCGACCCAGGTTTGATCCCCTGCTGGTCCATATGGTCCTCCAAGCACTGCTAAGATAGGAGTAATTCCTGAGTGCAGAACAGGAGTAACCCCTGAGCATCACTGTGTGTGAGCCCCCCCCCCCAAAAAAAGGCCTTTTTCTATAAGCCTGCTAAAGTATCCCTTCCACCACTGCATGGCCCGGTTATAGTCAATTATCACAGGGCTGGAGATCAAAGGTCAGAGTGATAGTACAGCGGTAGGCGCTTGATTTGCAGGCTCCTGACCTGAGTTCAAGTCCTGGCACCCCACATGGACCCCCTAGCCCCCCAGGAGCGGTCCCTCGAGTGCAGAGCCTGGAGAAATCCATGAGCATCGCTGAGTGTAGCCCCCAAAAGTAAGTAAAAATGAAATAAATAAAAACAAATGGCCAAAGGGCTAGAGCAGGGGTCAGTCTCTGAACGGACTTCTGACATTCAGAGGGAATTTTCGGGTGAAGCTGTTAACCTGATTCCCATACGGCCTCAGCTCTTAGCAGGCCCGGGAGCTGGCCGAACGCAGAGAGGGGCCTCCGTAACCGGGCTCAGAGCCAGGCTAGTGCAGAGAGGGGCCCCCAGGCCGGGGTTAGCTACAGAAGCAGCAGGTCCCTTAGAGCTCCCAGTCCCCCACACTCACCTGCACCACAGCGGGGTTCTTGCCTCCAGGGCCCACCTGGTTCCTGTTGAACGTGTCCATGGCCCGTGGGCGCCAGTGGTCCTGGGCACACAAGAGCAGGCTGGTGAGAGGGGGCCGGGGCAGGAAAGCGGGTGCAGAGACTCAAAGGCCATCGCCCTGGGAAAGGACCCTCCATCACCCTCACTGCCAGCATGGACGAGTTGGAGGCAGAGGAGAGGCAGCTGGGGAGCTGTCAGGGACCCCATTGCCCCCCCCCAAAGGCCCCCATTTTTTCTCCAAGTACAGCAGGGACACCGCCCCACCCAGCCCTGGCCAGGGCCACAGCAGGGCCTCGCTTTCAGCCTCTTGGTCCTGGAGCCTTCTCGGGGCACGGGGGTTCTACCTTAGTGGGGGAGTCAGACCCGAGGAACCCCTCCAGGGAGCCTCCAGGTGGGTGTCAGCGGCTGAGCCAGCGCCTTCCCCCACCCTCTCCCTCTGCTCTCCCTTTGTCTCTTTTCCCAGGGGTCTCGAAAGGATGTTTTCTTAAAGGAGACACAACAGGGAAACTCTCCATCATCCCCTTGCTCAATTCCCGGACCCTTGGTGACTCAGCCGCGCGACTGGAAAACTCGGGTCCTTAACTGGATGTGGGGTCTGCAGGAGGCGGAGGTCCTTCCAGCCAGGGAACCACGCATTCTTGGAGCCCCACTTTGAATTCTTTGCCACTGGGTCCCCTGCATCCTGACTCACACCTATGGTGCCCGAGACTCATGAGCGAGGACCTTGGGGTACGATTTGCCTGCTTCTCAGCCAACTCAGCTTGCCAAGGGGGAGCTCTGGCCTGCGCTGGGAGAGGGTATTGGGGAAAGCAAGCTGAGATGCACCCCTGCGGGGAGGGGTCTCCTGGAAGGGTTTTCCCGAACTTTCTCTCCCAGCCATCTGCCTGGGGACCTGGGGAGGAAGTGGGCGCTGCACAGCATTCCAAGGAGTGTCTGGCCCTCGCGGTGGGGCTTGGCCACAGAGTTACTAATTTTACCCTTCCAGCCTCCACCCTTCCGGACTCCAACTGCATGACTCCGTCACCGTTTCCACCCCAGCCAGAGGAACAGAGGCAAGGACGGAGCCCAGGGCCCAGCCCAGATCAGCCTGGGAAGAGGAAAGGCAAAAGGCACTGACCTAGACTGAGCTCCCAGCTGGCCCAGGCCCTCCCCTTGGATATCTGGCCAAGTCGCCAGGATCTGAGAGAAACAGGCCTGCATGCCTTATCAGGGAAGGCCTTTGGATGCTCCAAGGGAGACAGGGTGGGGAAGGGAACTTTATCTAGAAAACAAGCAGGAAGAAAAAGCAAAGTGAAGGAAAAAAACAACAGCAAAGTGAAGGAAAGGGACTCATTTAGTGGAGAGAGCTTTAGGCTGGGCTGCAAGAGCCTTTAATTCGAGGGTCACTCCTGGCAGTGTTCAGGGATCACTCCTGGCCACGTTCAGGGAAACTTATGAATGCCAGCAGGGTCCCCAGGGCCTCTGTCCTGCAAACCACGTGCCCACCTGGACTATCTCTCCAATACAAGAGCCTTAAAATCTATTTTTTTTTCCTTTTGGGTCATACCCGGTGATGCTCAGGGGTTACTCCTGGCTCTGCCAGAATCACTCCTGGTTGTGCTCGGGGGACCAGATGGGATGCTGGGAATTGAACCGGGTCAGCTGAGTGCAAGGCAAATGCCCTACCTGCTGTGCTATTGCTGTAGCCCATGACATTCTTTTTTTTTTTTTGCTCTTTGGGTCACACCCAGCGATGCTCAGGGGTTACTCCTGGCTCTTCACTCAGGAATTACTCCTGGCAGTGCTCGGGGGACCGTATGGGATGCTGGAAATTGAACCCAGGTTGGCCGTGTGCAAGGCAAACGCCCTACCTGCTGTGCTAATGCTCCAGCCTCAAGAGCCTTAAATTCTAATCCAGACTTAATTTTGATTTTGTTGCTGTTGGTATTTTTTTTCTTGACTTCATTTTTAATTAGCTGTGAGGTCTAAGACAAGTTACTTAACTTCTCTGAATGTCAGAGTCTCTAGAAAATTGGATAACGACTAATGATATTTATTACTTATTGACGGTAGGAGATGAGGGGGATATATTCAGCTGTACTCAGGTCTTACTCCAGGCTCTGTGCTCAGGCCAAATGTGGTGGGTTGAACCTGGGTTGATTGCATGCAAGGCAAGTGCCTTCGCCACTTCACTGTCTATGGCTTGGAGCTTCTGTGGGGCTGCAGGGGAATAGGGAGTGAGTTAATGGCCTTAAAATTTTTGTGGGGGCTGGAGCAATAGCACAGCGGGTAGGGCATTTGCCTTGCACGCAGCCAACCTAGGTTCAAATCCCAGCATCCCAGATGGTCCCCCGAGCACTGCCAGGAGTAATTCCTGAGTGCATGAACCAGGAGTAACTCCTGTGCATCGCTGGATGTGACCCAAAAAGCAAAAAAAAAAAAAAAAATTGTGGGACCTGGAGCAATAGTACAGCGGGCAGGGTGTTTGTCTTGCATGCAGCCGACCCTGGTTTGATCCCTTGCATTCCATATGGTCCCTTGAGTACTGACAGGAGTAATTCCTGAGTGCAGACACAGGAGGAACCCTTGAGCATTGCCAGATGTGTCCCCAAAACAAATAAAATTTGTTTTTTATTGGAAGGAGTTCATAGAAATGTTCTAAAACTAATGTGTGCCAGTGGTTGCAGAGCTTTGTAAAGACACTAAAAGGCATTAAGTGCTCACTAAAATTTCATGAATTTTATTTGTTTTGTTTTTAAGTTGTTGGGACTTGCCAGTGGTGCTGGCAGCCCACTAAGGCTATACCAGTGGAGCCAGAGACCACACAGGACCAGGCCAGGCCCCATGCATGCCAGGCAGTGCTCAGCCCTCGGGGCATCCCCTAAATTGAGGAAGGTTTTCCCTCCCTCCCTCCCTCCTTCCTTCCTTCTTCCTTTGCTTCCCTTCTCTCTCACTCGCTCTCTTTCTTTCTTCCCCTTCCTTCTTTTCTCATGGAGTGGAGCCTTGGGGCCACTCACATCTTGGTGCCCTTGCTCAGATAGCTCCTGGCAGTGCTCAGCATGCAAAACTGGCCCTCAGCCCTCTGAGCCATCTCCTTCCTCCACCTAGTTGAGTGAATTTTCTTTTAGGGGTGGGGTTTGGGCTACACCCAGCAGTGCTCAGGGCTTACTCCTGGTAGGCCTTGAGGGCCCATACATGGTGATGAGGATGGAACCAGGGTCAGCCACATGCCAGGCAAGCGCCTTGAGCCCTGCACCATCTCTCTCACCCAGTGGAGTGAATTTTATTTAATTAATTAAATAATTAATTTATTTGCTTTTTTTTGGGTCACACTCAGCAATGCTCAGGGGTTACTCCTGGCTTTGCACTCAGGAATTACTCCTACGGGTGCTTGGGAGACCATATGGGATGCTGGGGATTGAACCCGGGTTGGCCACATGCAAGGCAAATGACCTACCGGCTGTACTATCGCTGAGCTATCTCTCCAACTGGAAACTGTTAAATTTTTTTTGGCTTATTTCGGAGCCACATCCGGCAATGCTCAGCGGTTACTCCTGGCTTTGCACTCAGGAATTACTCCTGATAGTGCTCTGAGGACCATATGGGATGCCAGGGACCAAACCCAGTGGGCCACATGCAAGGCAAGTGCCCTCCTCACTGCGCTATCGCTCCAGCCTCTGTTAGACTTTTGTTATATTTGTTTCGTTCCTGTAGATTCACCTTAAATGACACCATAAGCATGGCAGTTAGTAGTGGTTGAGTTTTGTGACCTTGAATCAATCCCTCCTCTTTCTGGGTCTCACGTTCTTCACGCTGTCACATTTGTCACTAAGACTGGAGCAGCCGAGGGAGGGTGTGCTCATTTACCCCCCGGAGAATTTCAAGTGGAGATAAAGAGTGTCAATGAATAACGCTGATGAGGAACAAGAGTGGTTAGAGGAGAGGAGAGAGGGGAAGAAGGAGGCGAGAGGAGAGAAAGATAAGAGACCGAGAAGATAAGAAAAGATGGAGAGATTAGGCGCTGCAAGGGAGCCTGTGACCCCAGCTCAGATACCTAATCCAGGTGAAGTGGAAAGATACCTGGCCCCAGGTATGGCAGACGCCGCACGGCGGCGCCCGGAGCCGCCACCTGGGGGCGCTCTCCTCGCTCGGACCCTGCGCGCCCTAGACGGCGGATCGGCGCTGCGCCGGCGCGCCCCCTACTGGCCGGCCCGCTCCCACCCCGCAGGGCTGCCCGCGCGGCCGCGCCCGCCAGGTCTCCCACGTCGCAGCCTTTGGGGGAAGGGGGAATCGGGAATCCCATCCCGCCCAGCAGAAAGGAAGCGGGAGAAGCCTCGGAGGTGCAGGTGGAGGTGTCGGGAAAGGGGCACACGAGGGAAGCCCCTGCCCAGCTCCCCGGAGCGTTCCCGGTGCGGGATGAGGCGCGGGCTGGGCCGGGCACCGCCCCACTCCGCCTCCTGGACCCCTGGGGGTCGCGGGGTCCACGCACGCCCGAGCCAGGTCCTCTCCGAAACCCCGGGGAAGGGCCGGAAGGGTCTGGCCCCGACAGGCGCCGCAGTCCCAGCTCCCCCCCCCCCCGTGGGGACCCCCCGTGGGAACGCCGTGCCCCTCGCGGCGCCCCTCTGCGCTGGGCCTCACCTGTGGCCTCGGGGTCCAGCGCGGGCCTCGCCCTAGGCGTCGCATGGCTGTGATCCCCGCGAGGGGAGCCCCCCGGACCGGGCCGCCGCACGTCCAGCCCCGAGGAAGGGCGGCCGCAGAGGAAGGAGGCGGAGGGGAAGGAAACTGAGGCTGAGCCCAGCGGGCGGAGGCCGGAACGGGGCGGGCGCCGGGAGGGAGACCGAGGGGATGCCCGGGGACGGGGACGCGGGGGAGCCGCGGACGGAGGAAAACAAACAGGAGAGCGCGGGACAGAGAGTAAATGGGGAAACTGAGTCACGCCCCTGGGGACTCACGCGGGAGCCGCACCGGGGGCTGCGGGCCGTCACGGGGCGGGGTAGAGGCCAGGGCGCCGGGCCGCAGGGGCGCGGCGCGGGGTGGATGTGGGCCGGGGGCCGGGGAGGCGCAGGGGGCGCCGCCGGGAGGGGCGCATGCCCCACGCCGCGGGCCGAGCGCGGTGGCCGCCGGGGCGGCCGCCAGGTGGGACAAGGCCACAGTGTTGGGGCCGCCCCGCCCGCCCTCGCGCCGGACAAGCGGCCTTTCTTCGGCGAAGGGGAGAAGGGGCCGCTTGTTTGCGCGGCCGGGAATGGGGCGGCCCCGCTCCCCGCCGGGCAGCTGCGGCCGGGGTGGGGGGGTTGGGTGGGTGGGAGCTGGGTGTGCGCCGAGGCCTGGAGCAGGGGAGGGGAGTGCGGGGGGCCGGGTGGGAGCCGGGGTGCGTGCCAGGGGGCGTGCGGGGCGCAGAGCTGTGCGGGTGCGGGGCTGGCCAGGGCGTAGACGTGTGCGTAGACGTGTGCGGTGGTCGGGGGGGTGTGGGGGAACACTACCACCAGGGCTGCACGGTGCAGTGACGCGGGTGACGTGGGGGGTCTCGGAAGAACCTCAGGTGCGCGCGGCCACCCCGGGAGGCCGGACGGGGCAGCGTGCGCGTGCGCGTGCGGGGGCGCGCGCGCGCGGGGGGCTGCGCCCCGGGCGGCGTCGCATGAGTCAGCCTCGGGGCCTCCCGGACAGCTGAGCTAACGGGCCCAGAATGCAGCCCCGCCCGCGCGCCGTCCCCGCCGTCCCGCACCGTCCCCCGCGGGGCCCGGCCCGACGCGCGCCCGTCCCGCCGGAAGCCTCAGCCGGCGCCGCCTGCGGCCACCGCCGCGCTTCCCCTCGGCCGCCGCGGGCGCCCACACCCCCACGGTTCCGCTTGGCCCCCTGCTGCGGGGACCTGGGCCGGAGGCTCCAATCCCCACCAGCCCGGACGGGCGTGGCCAGAGCCGGGGCTGAGGGGGGCGCATCCCCCCACCCCCGGGGGGTCCTACCCGGCGCCTCCCGCAGCCCTCGGGACGCTGGGCGCGGGCTCCCCCGAGTCCCTCCCCGACGTGCCCCACTAGGCGTCTCTCCCTCCATCCAGGCTGCCCCGGATGGGAGCGGAGATGCTCCGGGGACCGCACCCCTGCCCCGGACCCCCACGCCCTCCCAATGCGGGGGTCTCGATCGGTGTCAGTCGGGCCGGAGGGAGAGGTGGGGGTGTGGGGCGCAGGCGGACGGCACCTCTTCGAAAAGTGTCTGGGCGCCGTCTGGGTGCCCCCCGAGGAATCTAGCTTGGAGCCGGTCAGAGCCCCCCCAGTTCTCCCCGCCGCCCCCGGCCCCGGGGGAGCGCGAGGGCCCCCTCTGGCGGCGGCGCGGGCCTCGGGCCGGAGGGCAGTGCCAGCCGCGCGCGGGACAGCCGCCAGGCGGACGCGCCGCCGAGCCCCCTTCGCCCCGGTGCGCGCTCACCTGGGCCTCGCCCCGGGGCTCCCCGGGGTTCTTCAAGACTTCCCAGCCCAAAGCGGGTCCCGGGGCTCCAGCCAGCCCCCCCCCCCCCCCCCCGGCTCTTCCTCTTTTCCAGTCCCAGCCGCGCAGCGCACGCGACCCTCGGGCGGGGGCCACGCCGCGTTCTTACCTCGGGGGACGGGGGGACACCGGGCCCTTCGCCTGGCTGGCCGCGGCGGCCTCGGGCTGAGGACACTGTTGCTTTCCCCGGGAGCCCGCGGAGTAGGAGGAGAGCGCGCGGGTCCCGCCCCCCACCCCCCAGTCCCCGCCCCAGTCCCCGTCCCGGCTGCCTGGCCAGAGAAGACGCTCTTGTGGGGCTGGAGCCCGAGGTCCCCCCACCCACTCTTTCCCAGAGCAGCACCGCCCCCCGCCTGCACAGCGCCCGCTTTGTTCATCTCCGCAGCTGGTTCACCGCCGCCCCAGCGCACCCCTTCTCCCGCCACCCCCGGCCACCCGCCGCCGCCCGATGGCTCGGGCGGGTCCTCTTCTTCAACTTCCTAGACCCCAGACTCTCGCGCCGGCTCCCGGGGACCCTTCCTAGTGGCAGCCCAGCCACGTACTCCGGGACAGTTTCTGCGCCAGGAGAGCCAGCGCTGCCCCCTCTCTCCCGGTCTTATCTACCCCAAGCCCCACCGCGAGGAGCTGTAAATGGGATAATGGGATGAGTACACCCCCCACCCCCTATTCCAGGCGATCCCGGCTTTTCTGGTGGAAGCCCAGCAACGCGGACACCGCCCCCTACCCCAACCGGTGCCCCAACCCGTGGGCTATGAGCCGAGGGGAAGTGTTGGCAGGCAGGTGACATGCCATGGGGGGGGGGGGAGGGCTCATCTGGCGAAAGGAGAGGGCGAAAAACCCTTAGAAGAACCTAGAAAAACTGGGCCTGGTTGCAGTCCTGCTCCCTCTCACCCGCACTTGGAAACCCAAGCCTGACAGTGGAGCCGGCTGTGTCCTGCCAGCTCTCGCCCCAGGAGACCCAGGAGGTGGCCCTGGGGCTGAGCTGAGCTAGACTGGACAACCTCCTTCGGCAGGGACCCCTAAGACCTTCCTCTGGAAGGAGTGATGGAAAGCCCCAGCCTCACACCCCCACTCCACAGGTTGGCATGAATTTTGGTGTGTGGGGGGTGGGGTGGGAGGAAGCTAGGAAGAACCGGCCTTTGGGATAAACACATCTTGTTCTGATTCACTGGGTTTAGTTTTGCTCTCTCCGGTCCTCCCTCCCTCACTCACTCACCCAGCAACAGGGCACCACCGGGGCCACCGGGGCTACAGGAAGTTCTGGTCACTCATTGACAGGCCTGCACTGGGTGGGTGGGGGGGGGCAGGATAGGGCATGGTTGGAGGCTCTGGAGCCCCACAGTAGGCAAGAAAGGGAAGGGTGGTCTTCCTAGCTACTGCGGGCAGACACAGGCAGTCCCACTGACGGCCTGCACTGTGGCTCCCACCGGGCATGGAGTTTGGGAGGGGAATAAGACCGGGGTCCTTCCACTCTAGAGGACATTCGAAGCCCAGGAAAGTATTTTAACTCTGGCTACCTTTCCTGAGGCAAATCACAACAGTAATTTTGAGGTTATTCTGGTTTAAAGAGGGAAAAAAAAAAGGAAAAAGAAAGAAAAGAACAGGCCAGAGAACTAGCTGTACAGTCTGGATGCAGGCTTTGCAAACAGAGGTTGGGGCGATTCCCAGCAGCAGAGGGTCTGTTGAGCACCGCTGGGAGTGACCCCTGACACCAGGTGTGATCCCAAAACCAAGAGATATGCTCCCCCCCCCAAAAAAAAAAAACCCATGTCCAAAGTGCCAAGAACCAGCATCTGAGGATGGGCTCTCATGTCCCTCAGGAGGAATTTCAGGAATGAGCCTGTCCCAGCTGCTGGGACAGTGACACAGCACCCGGCTTCTCTGGGTCCTCACCCCGGGATCAGCCACGCGATGTTGGTCTGCCTCAGGTTCCCACAGTGAGAGCACTCGGGGGACCACAGACCTCCCGCCCCCAGCCGCCCCACATCTGGAGCCCATCAGACTCAGTGCTCCCTCCCAGTTACGCAAGAGGTCGAGCAGCTGGGAGCGCAGGGAAGGGGGAGGAAGAGAGAAGAGAGCAGCCAAGCGCCTTCCAAGCCGGCTTCAGACTTTCCGAAGTGGAAGTAGGGGGAGAGGGCAGAGGCTGGGTGTGGAAGGCACGGCGGGGACTCTGCACTTGGCTACCAAGGGCAGCAGTGGATTTCCACACCCGCCTACCTTGGCCCCAAACTTCCCTCCTTTCCCTCCCTCTCATCTCAGGGGGAGTCCCAGAAAGTGGGTGATTATTGCTCCTCAGAGCAAGTGCAGCGGGACCCTTTCCCAGAAATCTCTCGCTCCCGGCGGCCTCTCTGGGTTCTGAAACCAGCATCCTCGGCGGCGTAGGTGGGATACAGCGAAGATGCCAAGCAGCTCTGGGCTGCCGCTGATTTGGGAAAAGATTCAAACCTGCCTTCAGCAGCTGCAAAGGAGCAGCTTTTTCCTGCGCTTGTTTGGAAATTGCACAATTCACACTTCCACACAAGGCTAAGATTCCTCCACACTGAGTGGGACATTTGGGCAGGATGTCTCTCTCTCTCTCTCTCTCCCTCTCTCTCTCTCTGGCTCAGGACTCCCTCCGGAAGGAACAAAAAATGGGAGTCCGTGGCTGGAGTGTGCATGAGAGCCTTGGGTTGTCCACCCACACCACGATGTCCCCCACACCACTGCCAGGTGTGACCTTTCCCCAGCCATGGATTGGGAAAGGACATTTTTCCATTTCTCTCATTCCCTTGGATTTGGAATGCCATTTTCAAATAGCTCCTTTGTGTTTTCTAGAATTGCAGCAAGTCTTAACTAAACACTTAGCCCATATCCCACCAACAGCAAGGTGAAAATCTTTTTTTTTTTTTTTTCCGGTTAGGAGCCCGGGTGCTGTGAGAGGAGCAGAGGCTGGTTTGCAAAGGTCATGTCTTTTTCCTCAAGGCCTGTCCCCGTGAGGGTTAGGACTGTCACTGGCAGAGATGCCCTCCGCGCATAACCAACCTACCTGTGGCTCTTCTCCAAAGTGGAAGCACCTGAATGAGCAGAGGACCCTGGAAACCTTGAGCACTTCGTTGACAAATAGATATCCAGAGCCAAGATAGTACAGCAGGGAAGGCATTCATTTGTCTTGTACACAGTCGATCTGGGTTCAATCCCTGGCACCCCACATGGTTCCCTGAGCACAGAGCCAGGAGTGCAGGCCCTGAGCACTGCAGAATGCAGCAGTAATATAAAACAAAAAAAAATTCCAAGGGAGGTTGCTGAGTTATTTTTCTAAGATGTAGTAGGCCAAGGACGTTTGGGAATCTCTATTCTGGGGTTTCGGGCTGGAGCGATAGCCCAGTGGGTAGGGCATTTGCTTTGCACGCAGCCAACATGGCCGACCCGAGTTCGAATCCTCCGCCCATCTCGGAGAGCCTGGAAAGCTACCGAGAGTATCTCGCCCAGTGCAGCAAAGCCTGGCAAGCTCCCCATGATGTATTCCATATGCCAAACACAGTAACGAGTCTCACAATGTTACTGGGCCCGCTCAATGGATGAACAATGGGAGGACAGTGATACAGTGATTATTTTGGGGTTTCAAAGGAACTCAGCAGTAGAGGGGCTGGAGAGATCATACAGCAGGTAAGGTGCTTGCCTTGCATGCCGCAGATGTGGGTTCCAATACCCACCACCACCTGTGGTTCCCTAAGCACCATCCTGCGACATTCCTGAGCAGAGTGAAGAATAACACCACGTGCTTCTGGGCGTGGCACCCCTACACCCCAGTTGCATAGTAAAATGGAGTCAGTTTTTTTTTCCCCTTTTTGGGTCACACTCAGCAATGCTCAGGGGTTACTTCTGGCTCTGCACTCAGGAATTTCTCCTGGTGGTGCTTGGAGGACCATATGAGATGCTGGGGATTGAACCCTGGTCAGCCGCGTGCAAGGTAAACGTCCTACCCGCTGTACCATCGCTCCAGCCCCCAGTTCTGAATTTTTGCTTCTGTTTGTGATTCCTCAGGTTTCCCCTAACTCCAAGGAGGCCCACAGAGAGTATCACTTGCAGTTAGCATGTCTTAAAAAAAAAAATGGTGTTATGAATGGTTCAGTGGTTGATTGTACTGATATTTGCCTTCTTCGATGGGAGTTTCTTCCATGTCTTTGTTTTGGGGCCACACCCAGCGGTGCTCAGGGATTACTCCTGGCTCTGCACTCAGGGATCAATCCTGGGGAGCTCAGGGGACCGTACAGGATGCTGGTGATAGAACCTCACTCAGCAGAATGCATGGCAAGCAAGCGCCCTCCCCGCTGTGCGCTCTCTCTCCAGCCCCTCCTGTTGGTTTTCTGCCTCTACATAAACCCGCCAGACAGAATCTCTTCAGAAAGGGATTCTGTAACAGCTCGGGAGGTCTTTCACCCTATGCAGTGTGAGCAACTTAAAATGAACAGAGGGCGGTTTCTCGGTGAGCCGCGGGGGTGATAGTGAGTTGGAACTACAGTGTGTGGAGGACAGACATTTTTCAGAAAACTACCGAAGGGTTAGGGTTCTGCCTCCTCCCTGTGGAAATCAGCCCAGGAACTACAGCCTCAACTCTGTGCTGCATCAGATCCAATTATTTTGTCTCTTTCACTTTATTTTTGTACTTATTTTTTTGCTTTTTGGGTCACACCCAGCTATGCACAGGGGTTACTCCTGGTTCATGCACTCAGGAATTACACCTGGCCATGCTTGGGGGACCATATGGGTTGCTGGGAATTGAACATGGGTCGGGCCGCATGCAAGGCAAACGCCCTACCCGCTGTGCTATCGCTCCAGCCCCTTGTCTCCCTTCACTTTATTTTTTTTTCTTTTTGGGTCACACCCGGCGATGCACAGGGGTTACTCCTGGTTCTGCACTCAGGAATCACCCCTGGCAGTGCTCAGGGGACCATATGGGATGCTGGGAATCGAACCCAGGTCGGCAGCGTGCAAAGCAAACGCCTATCCACTGTGCTATTGCTCCAGCCCCCTCCCTTCACTTTAAAAGCCAACAAACAGCACTTGAGCTACAAAGGCTTAGGCAGGGCTGCCGGGACTCCGATTGCTTCTTCCACTTGAGTTAGTCTCTGAGTCAAAGAACACTTCAGTCACAGAAGAGTGGAGATTTTCTGTTTCTCTTAAGATTCAAATGTGGAGTTTTCAACTCAATTAAAACTTGGTGATTTTCGATAGTCTTCCCAGT